TCTTAGGCAGAAGCTCTTCCCTGTGAGGGTGCTGAGGCGCTGGCACAGGGTGCCCAGAGAAGCTGTGGCTGCCCCATCCCTGGCAGTGCTCAAGGCCAGGTTGGACACAGGGGCTTGGAGCAACCTGCTCTAGTGGAAGGGGTCCCTGCCCGTGGCAGGGGTTGGAACTGGATGGGCTTTAAGGTCCCTTCCAACTCAAACCAGTCTGTGATGCTATGGTCTTTAGTTCTCTCCGCCAAATGAGATAAATCCCCTGGTGTCTGGGACACTCTCTGCCATCACACAGCACAAGCAGCCACCAGACTGACATTTATCCCAGGTTACAGAGCTGAAGTGGCTGAGACAGCGCCTATGACACTTTCTCTTCTTGTACAAAGCGCCCAAGGAGCCTTGAGCCCTCCAGCAAAACACAAGTCTTGTAGGAGAAGGGAAATAAAGAGTCCAATGGGCACAGAGTGGAATCCAGATGATAAAAGCAGCGCAAACATCTGATTGCAGGTCAGGGTGATGTCTGCTCATTCGGCATCAGTGCAACCAAGTCAACAGCACTAAAACCAAAGGTGTGGAAATAAACAGGGCAGAAAACGCAGACTTAAAATCAAATTTATTTAGAGGAAAAAAATGACTTTACAAGAGGTTGATGCCAATAACTAAAAAGGAAGATAAATAAAAGCCTGTTACAAAACCTAATGGTTTCTGGCAAGTTACAGAAAAACTGAAGAATTTTACAGTCAATAACCTGCTCACTTTGTACATAATTACAAATTAACATACAGCAATTAGGGTTTACCCTCTTCTTTAAAAATTCTTTTTTTTTTTCAACTTTTTAACTTTTTTCTTTTTAACAGGTTCAACATGAAAATGCAAAGCATTTTTATTTATTTTCTTTTTATTTTTTTAAGAAACAAACCAAAAGCAGAGGTATATCGGGTTATTGTAATACACCTCCTCAACGCTCTGGGAATTACTCAAGTGCATTCCGTATTAGTACAAAATAAACTCCAGGCTAAACTTTAACCATAGGCAAGCTGAACTGGACACGGGTTTCATGGGGTTTGGTTTTGAGACAGTGTTTAATATCAATAAAGAAAGTAGCAAAATACTTTAGAACATGGAAAGGATGGATACCTATAGACAGCTTAAATACATACCAAGCTCGTAGCTGTATGCGAAGCAGTGATTGTTATCCTGTTCCCCCCCACCCCCCCAAGCAATGGAAGCTGGATATATTTGGGCAAAGCATCAGTGTCAGTGAAATGTGTGTGGAAAGGAAGGGCACCCAGCCCTGAGGATGCAGCTGGGAAGAGAGCTGGCATCATGCTTCCCATGGCTGAAGAGCACGAGGTGTATGGGATTAAAAGCCAGTTCAGCTCACCTATCTTTAAAGCTTAGCTGTGTCACCGGATCAAGAATCATTGCTTGCTGCCCCTTCTGACAAGTGAAGCAAGAGTTATGAGCAGCAGGGAGGTTTCCTTATTTAAAAGGGTGCCTTAAATTATGTTAAATTCCCAAACCTGGCCAGCAGGGAGAATAATTTCCAGAGTTCTGGTTAACAAGGAATGTTTTGTGGGATTTTAGTGGATTCTCTCTTGTGCCCCCTGCCCAGTCCTCCCCTGCCCCGTGCCACACATATCCTAGACATTTTCCTTGGGATTTGGCACCTGGTGAACCTATTCTGACTTGGTGGCTTTTGGGAGGACTGGATTTGTGTGTTTCCTCAACAGCTTTGAGATAGCCTAGTGCCTCAAGAAGGTGCAAAGATGATTGGACTCCACGGATGCTCTTGCCTTCGAAAGGCAGTACAGATCTGCACAAGCTAATGGCATTACTGTGCTTCTCAGCAGTGGTCAAACTTCAAGTGTGAAGAGTTCACCCGAAGGAGTGGTGAGAGCTCCTGCCCCAGGGATGGTACCTGGGAGGTCTCCAATGGCCTGGACAGTGCATGGATATAGTGCATGGAAAGGGCCTCACTTCACTTGGTCACATCCCACCAACATCTCCTTTGCTTTGGGTTTCTCCAAGGAGAAGGAGGTGGAGGGCAAACCACTGGTGGGACTGCTTCCCTACCGGCAGCAGTACTCGCTGTGAGGATGGTTGATGGTGACACCAGCATGGGCTCTCCCAGGGGATATACCTGAGCCATCAGAAGCCAGTTCTCTGGTCCTGCCGCTCACCCTGTCTGCACTGGGAGTGTAGTCAGATTCACACCCATTCTGGTCTAAAACTGATACAAAAAGCTTGGCCCTTCCTCCCCTCCTGGGGTAAAGCCAAACCAAACCAGGAATATGCCTACTTGGAGCTGAAATTTCGCTGGGGATGCAGAGGCGGGGAGCAATGGCAAAGCTGATTGTCTCCATGTAACCAAAATAACAAGGGACAAGACCAGTTCCATTTAAAGTGCTTTATGGCATCAAACCGACATCAAGGTACATGTTGAGATGATCACTTCATTTAAAAGAAGGTAAGGCCAACCCCACACAACTCCATCGAGTCTCACACCATTTGCTACAGCTCTACTCTTTATCTCTGGGGTATTTTGGCACCCCCAGGTAATACTGACCACTTCTGCACTTCATCTGAGCCTGTGCTCCCAGCAACCTGGTCACTGAAACCCTTCTGCTGGGCAGTGAAGATGAACAGGCAAAGAAATGTCCAAGAAAAGAGAGTCTGATTTCTCCCCTCCATGAAGCACCAGCACAGAAAGCTCCAAGACCCCTCTCAGTGTTCTCTTCTCCCTCCAGCAACATGGCATCACACAGACATATTCAAGCTTGCTCTGTGTCCCAGGAACCAAAGGGAATCAGGGTGGTTTGGGCACTCCAAATGGGATAAAAGCACTGGCTCTGGAAAGTAGATACAGCATCAGGCTGGGCTGAAGGAATAACACTTTCAACCGTTGCAGGATGGATGCCAGGCATGGAACTGGAGTAAAATGCAATTTTAAGGCCAGGAAGAGGAAAGACTTTGGTGCTGTCAAGCTGGGACCATGCTCTAGCAGACAACCTGCAGGGATCAGAGTGGGAACCTGACTCTGGAAACCTCTGCCAAGCCTTTCCAAAGAAAATCTGAGACGGGGAAAAATAAAAGGCTGAAGAGATGAAAACAAGCCCTTCCTTTCCTAAAGGTGAAAGAAGGAGGAAGCAGTGTGGGAGTAAAGGCTTCATTCCAAAAAAGTGAATCATACAGTAACATACATCCTCCAGGGACAAAGGTCTGTCCACCAGAATTTAAGACACAAACAGCTTTGATATGCAGTATTTCTGGTCAGTGTATTTCTGACCCACACCTCTGTTTGCTCTCACAAGGAAGCACAGGGACCTTAGGATATCACACTTAGGGCACTGAATGCTCTTTTTGATTTGCACAGACCAGGAGAGATGCTCAAGCCAGGCAGACGGATCCCTGTTGCCCTGAGTCCTTCTGATGCCTTTCTCAAAGCCATGGGACGTTTCCATGTTGTGAATTCAAGATGTGTTGGGACTGGGGAGAAGACAGAGGGATAAAAAGAAAAGCTCATACTAGCAAAGGCTGTTACAGACTGAGGGGAACTCCAGGAAACACTGGGGACCTGAAGTGTGTTTGCACAGCAGTAATGAGCCCTGCACTGCTTTGGTTTCCAAAGATTCCAGCTTGGCACAGTCCTTTTTGCAGGTGTATAAATAGCAGGGCAGATGTTCTGAAATTGGTGGTTTTCTTATGAAAACGTAACACCACAACACCAGCACTTGCCTCCTTTAGCTCTCTTCAGGTTCAGAAGAGCTGCCTGTATCTCACTGGAGAAGCGACTGGACCCTCGCATCACTGTGAGATGCTCTATGTTTTGCTTCTTCCTTGCCTCTGAGAGGGATGAGAAAACCTAAATAAAATACTTAAAGAAACTAACTAATAGGAGGAGTCTTGCCCAAAGTCATTGCTTTATCCAGGCTTTTTAGCCCCAAGAATGCTCTGCCATAAAGAAAGCTCTCAGATGAAATCGTGTAACTCTGAGCATGGCATGAGCTGCAAAGCAGCACTGCCCAAACCCTGGTCTTGTAAGAGCCAGAGATAAGAACATTTGGTTTACCAAGCTTTTGGTAAGAAAACAAAAAAAACAAGGGGAAAATGAAAAACAAAAACAAAAACAAAATAAACCATCCCTTGAACCCCCAAACAAAAGCCAATGTCAAAAGAAATAAAAAAATAAAGCCAAGTAAACTTCTTTTTAAAAAAGAACTCTTTCAAATAAACAGAAAGATAAATATTTCTGCAAGCCCTGCTTGCAAGTAAGAACAAGCACCAAATAATAGTTAAAAAAGGCAAAATAAAAATAAGTCTCAAACCTTTTTCCTTTCTTCCTTTTGTTCTTCAAATCTTAATGTTTTAGAGAGCTTCAAAAGCAAGCAGGCAGTTTAGGATTCCTGCACTGACCAAGACAGACCAATCTAAGCACCCACCTCACTGATACTCATCAGCACCAAGCTCTGAACACTGCTGTGGGCTGAGCTTGTGAGAAGCCAGAGAGCAAACTGAAATCAAACAATAGTGCAAAGGGAGAAATACTGTTGTTTTTTAAAGAGGAACTGGTAGGAAAGGAAATGCACTTGAAAGCTTCAAACTGAGCAAACCCTTGAGCTATTCTGAAGCTGATAGCATCTCATAACCATTTACAAGTTCACTGGGGTAACACCCCTGAGAGGGTCTGCAAGAGCAACGACTTTGGAAGAGAGTCTGGCTCCCTGCACTCCTCTTCCCCTGCTGAACACAGCCCTGTATCCAAGAGCTGAACAAACTCCTCAGTCAGCACAGCAAAAGCCACCCTTGGACCTTCCCCTTCTGTTGATGGCAACACTTTCAGCCTAGTGGTGGAAACGGAGCTGCTATGCTGGACCTTTGGACTTATCCCACAGTGGTTTTGTCCACGAGAATAGATTTTTCTCCCTATAAATGGTTAATAAGTGCATGGTGCTGCATAAGCATAGGGACGAGGGGCTGCCTCTCTGGAGTACACTCTCAGGCCCTGACCTGCGATGTCTCACTGAAGTGCTCTGAAATTCCTGCTGTCTCATTCTGCCTGGGAAACCAGCAAGAGAAGCTGACAAAATCCAGAGAAACAGAAGCCCAACAGTAACACAAAAAAATGGGGCAGGAAATACACAAGTAACAGAACAAAGATCCCTAAAAACAGATTTGCAGCCATCTCTCCAGCAAGTCATCACGCTCGTAATGAACGGATGTCAAATGCAACTGAAGAACTACATCCTGGCAAGAAAAAGCTCCTTAGGGGATGGGAAGGAATGACCTGGAGCTCAAAGAGACTGCATAAAAAAAGATGTTGCTTAGAGTTGTTCCCACTTGAGCACCGTCTGCTCTGGCTCCCTGGGGTTGCCTTACAAGCCTATCAAATTGCTCTTTTCTGCAGTGTTTTGAATATACCCAAAGCCATTCTGCTTGATTCTGGAAACAGTTTGACATTTAAATCCCTCTGCCCCATGGAAATCTTTTGGAATAGCTTGAAATTTGAGTTTTTTCCCTCTGGATTTTTGCTGTTACTGCTTCCTGGTGTAAATACCTTTCTGAAACCAAACAGTCCCTATAACACGAGCACAAAAGAGGTGTGCAAGTCAATGACATTACAACAGGAGCAGTAAGGGCAAGATATTTAATATCTACACACTTCCTGAAAGTCATCAGGTATCATCTATCCCCATGGGCCAAGCTAAGCTTGGCTGTACAGACTGTAAGCATATCCCAGTGGATACATAGATACATATATGTATATATACAGTATATCTATATATGCCAGTGTATACGCACCATTTGTAGAGTCCTAATCTTTTGCTAAATGCTTGGTTTTGGTTATGTTCCCTGGAAAAGGGGAATTTGAAGGCACAGACCCCTTAAGGCTATGTTCTCTCGTCCTTCAGCAGTAAGAAGAGACAGAAAACATCTATCCCAATCCATTGAACCCAAGGTTTGCACAGAGAGACGGTACTATTTGCCATGCAGTCAGCCTCTAAGGTGAGAATTCACCCAAAACCACAGGAGAGAGGCCCTTTCCCACCACTGAACAGACTTTGCAATGTGTTATATATAAAACCTCCAGATGCTCGTCAGATGCAGGCACCAGCACCGTGCTGTGGAGCAGGCAGGGAGATGTACCAACGCTGAGAGTGACCAATGGAACCATCCGTGCTCAGCAGAAGATCTCCTCACCCTCTGGAGGTGCTTCTGACGAGTGAGAATCTGCAGCACAAAAGAACAAGTGGGAATCACTATGGGAATACAGCAGGCAGAGCGGGGACTCCACATGCATGGAAACCCCGCTGGCTGCCAAATCCACTGGGCACCTTAAAAAGACATCCAGTTCTCTGACGAGCTACCTTGAAATAACATCTCATAACTGGTGAGCTTCCCTGGCACAAGTTAGAAAACAGTGAGTTACTACGGAGATAAAGCTGAGGGCCTGAGATTTTATTTCATGTGGGTCAGAGGTTTGAGGTTCAGAACTATGTCCTAAGGGGATGCAAAACTACCATCTCTGTCTTTTCAGATCAAGAGACAAGACAGACTGGCTTGAGAGGAAGGGAGAGGCCACCAGAAAGGTTGCAGATACCACTTCCAAACTAGAACAGAGTTAAAGCAGACAGTAACACGTCAGGGGGTGCAACGGCCAGGAGCATCCCAGCAGCAGCTCATGAAAGCCCATACACTGAAGCAGGACATTTTCCTCCACAAAGCAGGGCAAGCTGAAAAGTAAAGGAAGAATTCAGCCCATGGAGGCTGCTTGGATGGTACAGGAAAGGAACAAGGAGCAGAGTGTGTCCCTCTGACAATCTCAGGGGCTGCAGAACAGAGGAAAGCCCACACAAGACTTCAAGTCAGGACTCCACTCATCACAGCTGATGATCTTCCATCCCTGTGTTATCTACATCCAAGGTTTCATGGCTTCCACAAGTTCAACGGCTGGAGCAAAATGCCAGCTCAGCAATCTTCAAAACACATGTCTGACCTCCCCTGACACTCACCAGACTGTTGGGAGCGATGTCCCCGGCCCTTTTTCTTCTTCTCCTTCTTGTCCTTTGGTTTGGCTAAACTGAAGAGGCGAGTAGGCATCTGGGGCTGTTCCTCAGCTGCCTTGTTAGTCTGGTTTGTTGTGCTAAGCAAATGGAAAGTGCTTTTCTCTTTGTGTGTCCTTGAAAGACTGTTCCTTTTAGGGGAAACAGACAGTTCTGCATCAAAGTGACCTTGTTTAGGAAGGGAAGGGCTCTTCTGCTTGGAGGACTCATCAATGCTGGACTGGGAGGAGACTCTTGCAAGTTTCTCGTGTAGATTTGAAACCTGTAAAGGAAAGGTGTTTCATTAGGGCATGAAAGGGGCTAGCAGAGAAACTAGATAGGCAAGGTGTGTCCCAGACCACTCAGAAACAGGCTATTCTTGTGAACATCCATCCCATTCATCAGCAAAAAAATGGTCTTTGTCCATGCAAAGCAAAGAGAGGAGCCCTCTCAGTTTAAGACAGAGAAACGAGGCATATAAAGAGTAACGCTCCAGTTATCTTTTGCTCCTACATGTACTATGCTATGTATCAACAAGCCAAGGGCAAACATTCTCTAAGATCTCAATACCAAGACTCACCCTGCACCGTTTGTGCACACAGACGGTGGCAGGAGGCCAAGGAGAAGCGTGCCTCTACGGGAGGGGAACGCCAGCACGCAGCACTGGAGCGGCATGGGTCAAAGCAAGCCTTCCCAAGCAAAACATGAAAGCAAAACAGTTTTCCTGCCTTCTATTTTTTTTCCCCCTAACGGCTGTCTCAGGATGTAATTGAGCCCTAACATTCAAAGGGAAGATCAAAACAAGAGCTCAACAAAGCCTCACCAAACCCTCTATTAATAGCTCTGAAATGTCAGCGAGATACCTGCCTCAAAAAGGTGCTTCCTTCTAATCCCCCTCGCAGCTATTTTACCTCTCGGCCTCTCCCATAGCATCCATGCCCCTTGCATGTCTATGTGTGCTCGATGCTGGAACAGCTTCACTGTGTGCTCAGAAAACAACTGGCCTGATCAGGAACCAGGGTGGGAGGGAGCAAGCCCTCCTCTGATGATTTGCTTTTCAGAGCTCACTGCCGAGCTCTGCAATTAATCCATTCAGGCACCCAAAATCATTTCCATCCCACAAGCCAACATTTATAAACTAATTCTGCTACAGCTGTAAGCAAATTACACTGAAAATTAGCGAGTTACAAACAAACAAATGATCAACAACAGGCTTAAGGATCAAATTCAACCTATGTTTTGCCTACGGATGCTTGCTCTCCTCAGTCAGACACAGGTCTAAGAAAGATAAACCCCAGCTTGCAGAAAACTGCACAGACAAGATCTGTGGGCAGCCAGGTACTAGAGGCCTCTTGCAGCAGAGCTGAGAACCTTTGCTCGCTCAGGTGCCCAGTCTCTTTAGGACACAGACAACGCCTATCTCTGCTAGGTACCCAGAATACTTCTGGAGATGGATGTAAGTGTGCAAACAGGCTTCTCCTGCAGTTAAAAGCTTCACAAGTGGCTTTTGTGGCAGCTGGAGGGTGCAGGTAACTCACAATGCTCAAGCTGAAAAGGACATCTCATCTACCTGACTGCTCCCCAGAGCTCAGCCCCCATGGGGTGAAGGCCAAAGTCAAAGGCAGTATCGACCTTCTAGGCACTGGACTGCCTACAGCATCTTCTCTGCAAGCCATCCACCAACAAACAGCACAGGAAAGTGAGCAGTGCTCAGGCTGTTTTAAGCACCTACTGCTCAGGACTGGCCTGAATACACCATGCTGCATCAACACTGGCAGCTCTGGAGATGCAAGAAATGCAGCCCAGCACATCATATGCAAGTGAAGAGCCAGTTTTAATACCTGGCCTGGCATGTCTAGGACTGGACTGGTGCGTGTCTATCCCTGCTGGCATGCCACTGGCTTAGGAGCTAGCTGGGAGCTCCCAGCAGGGAATGGATGGCTCCCCAGCAGCCTGGCCATTGGCATCATTTACCTGGTTGTGGTCTGACTCCTGCCGCATTTGAGCTAACCGCTCCACATCCTGCTTGAACTGCACCTTCTCCCTCTCCAGCTGCTTCTGTGCCGTGCGAAGCCTCTCCAGGTCAAGCTGGTAGGAGGCCTTCTTCACCTGCAGCTCCTCTCGCTCCCGCTCAAGTTCCTGCCACCCTCTCTGGACCTGCTCCTCTCGCTGGGCCAAATGGGCCTCCTGCTCCGCCAGCTCCTTCTCCCGAACTTCCCACTCCTTCTCTTTTCTCCGCCTCTCCTCCTGGTGCTGCGTCTGCTGCTTCTTCAAGTTGGCCAACTCCTGGCGCTGCTTCTCCAGGTTGCGCTGCTTCTCCTGCTCCAGCAGTGAGGTTGGCCGGAAGAAGCTTCGGGTCAGAGCCCTCTCACTCAAAGCCAGCTTCTGGTCCTCGATGTAGGTGTCCTGCTGCAGCACAACACCCTAGGAGAGAGGGGACACAAACCACTGCAGCACCCTCTCCACAGAAAGAGGTTCCACCCCTGGAAACCTCAGGGTGCTGCATCAAACCACTTTTTCTCCCACATAGGCATCAGCTCATTCCTATGACCTGATGGCAATGCTGGCCGTGGAGCATTCAGCTGCACAGAGATGTGACAGGCAAAGGGGAAGGGGAGATGGGGGTGAAGCACGATGTGCAGTTTGGGCATATAGCATGCAGAAGCAGGGTGAATGGCTAAGCCTACCTGCAAAGCACTGAGCAGCTTATGGAGGCTGGTAATGGTTTGGAGGACCTGCTGCGAGAAAACAAAAGCATTGCTATTAGATCTCACTGGGTGCCAGGGTACACATAAAGCCTACTACTTTTCTACTGTAACCCACTGGTGGGTCTGACAAGTACAGCCACTCCTCTACACCTTCCTTTTTCTTACTGTTCACCTGCAATGACTGCATCATTCCTCAATGCATAAATACATCCCTTGGATATCTCGAAGAGGTGCCTGACATCATCTTCCTCACTTCCCTATACATAAGTGCAGCAGGGTAGAAAACATCTGCAGAAGCACTGAACAGCACAGACACCTTGGGAACTCTGGGGTTGTCTCTGCAAACCATTTTCCACAGAACCTGCTTGCTCAGGAACAAGCAGAGCAATTGGGATGAAACCCAGCAGTTTGCTTAAAAATTCCCTGGAAAGAACCTCAAGGGGCTAAAAAAGATATCTGAAAATGAATATGGACTATTTGTACTCTCCCACCCTTGGCTGACCCAAACAAGTCCCCCTGTCACTAAACAGAAAAACTGCAATACAGCAGGCACACAAGTGTAGCAGGTGTGCTCATGGGGGCTCTCTGAAAACACAGGTAAACATGAACGCATCATGCATCAACACAGAGCAAGCTACTTCAAAGTGATGCCCTATCCCTGGCTAAAAATTTCCCTGAATCTCTCCTATCCTACAATTACTTTTAAGAAGAAGAAAACTCACTGCAGTATTTGCAGTAGTGGTGTGATAGCCAGCATTGAGAACTGCTTCTCATTGTGCCATTAACGCTAATTGGGAGTTATGAATGTGTATCAAAGGGAGAATAGAAATCTAATTGCCCCATTCACTGCACCTGCAACAAAATTAAACTCCCTCTGTCTGCAGATGCACAATAAATACAGCCCTGTGCATCCTAGTGGTAATTAACCCTTGCTGCCTATAATCAGCAGATATCATCCTGCTGGCAAGCAGATGACAATCAGTGAATTCCCTGTCTGAACATCCAAGGTTAAACAAATAAATGACACGGTGGGTTTAACTTAATGTATTTAAAAGTCTGCATGCACTTCCGCAAATGAAATGTGTTTCTTCTACACTGAGACAAATTCACTCGCCACTTAAAAGAAGGAAACAGCTGAGCAACGGAATCAATTCTTACCTCGTTATTCCTTTTCAACATGAACATCAGATTAGCATTTCCACCCTATAAAAAGATAGCAGATTTAATATGAGGACAATGAGAAATCACAGCAAATGTGTTCTGAAGCTGAACTAATGACAGACCCACTAACCCCCCTGCGCCCATCTTCCATTCTTGAGAATTCATTGCACGTTTTTTAGGCAAGTTAAAATCATATCTAATAAAATGTTAATTAGGGATTATTTTCTAGTTATATGATGCATCAATCCACAGCAAGAATAGGTGCAAGGTTATAGTTGACCTTAGCATTTCCATAATGATGCATAATTAAACACATGCTTCAGCTGATCTGCAGACAGATGGCAGATAACCTGTGCCACAAAGGAATACAACTGATTTGCAATGATCTTCAAGTCAGGATTTTAGCTATAGCAAAGTAGTTTTGGCTGCATACTTCCAATTTTGTTTTATTTTGACTTATTAGGATACATCTAATTGTCAAGAAATTCAGGCTTTTCCAAGACTAAAACTGCAACTCTCTTCAAATCTGAACTCAGTGGCAGCAGACAGATAAACTGAGGGATACCTTCTTTAAAATGCTGTCTGACTCTGTTCTCCGAAGGTCCTGAGCATCCTCGCCTTCATCTTTCGCTCCACCTAAAGGAAGAAGCCAGCATTGCCACTGGTTATTCAACATTTTAAGCCATATAAACTTGCTAATGTTGGAGAAATTTAATACAGGAAACTTAGATGTTTCACAAAAGGGGGCACAGAGCTTTTGACACTTTTAACTAAATGCATTTGCTCCCTACACACATGGAACACGTCAGCAGCACCACAAATAGTGGCTGTGAATTCAGATAAGGACTGACTTTGGTTTCAGACAATGTGCTGATACATTCAGCACACTCATTCATCGGTGCTTTGTCCAGCCCCTGTGCTGCTGTCTGCTACCAAAGAATACTTGCTGAGAAGACATGAGGCAGAGTAAGAGCAGATGGAGAACAGCAACAGTCTCATATCAGGGTATATTATTGCAGGTATAGTTTCAATGCCTCTCTCGTGCAAGTGCAATTTACTGGGTCAGATACTGCTGTGCAATAGCCTTGTGTAATTTTATGCTAGTTTTTCCTTAACCTCAATTATCTTCAACCTGTATCTATCAAGGGATATCTTTATCTCTGACTTCCCTGGATGGATAATATCTGTGCTTCTGAGCAGGACTGAACTGACTTATGAGGCCAGGAGGGCTGCAACCCTCCACACTGCCCTTCTGCTCATGGGCAGTGAAGGAGTGACACAGCTCTTAGTCCTCAAGCTCTTTCCAAGACTCTTGCACTTCCCTTACTGGCTGAGATGGGGAAAACCCACACCTGCAGTGGTAACGTCCCAGCTGTCACTCTTGTAATGATAAACAACTTTACATACACCTGCATCTGCAGCAATGTGAAGGACAACGCACCTAGTGCAAAGGCCCTCTCCTCCCACCACCCCCCAGGCAGGCTTTGCTATTAAAGGCTGACCCTCAAGTCCTCCTAACAGACCTTCTCTCCTGCGCCACGTCCTGGGACCTTCCACCTCTCTGCAGGAGGAAACACCTCCCTTCTGCTTTGCTGGAGGGGAGAACGAAGGGGAGTCAGGTTATAAGCCTTGCTCAAGGTTGTGAACAGAAGATCTGAGATCAAAGCCAGGTTTCATGCCTCCTGCCCTCCAGCTGAACAAACAGACCCTGCATATTTTCCCCAAATTCTCCCAAGACCCTACAACTACTGAATTACAATCTAATCCAAAAGAGGACATTTCTATAGAAAAAACTAGAGCTGGATAGCCTGCGGTTGTCCCATTCATCACTGCTACACATGGAGGCAGAACCCTAAACAACCCTATGTGAATCTATTTGTCATTATGATGACAAGGCCTGTGGAGGGCTTTGCAGCTTTCCAATAGAGCTGGGAAAACCTCTACATACTTCTCATGTCTGACTGTCTGGAGCTAACACTGCTCCTTTAATGCAGAAGGTCAGACGAGGTCCAACAATCCCAACGCTGAGACAGACACTAGCGCAGCAAAACTGGCTGGACTAGGAGTATGAGAGAGACCACAGAGAAAGGAATTTGAGGACAGGGAAGTTTCTGGTGAGCAGGGCAAAGAAAGAGAGCATTGGGAAGCAGCCAACTGTGCAGCTGAAATAAATATTCACACGTTTCTTTGGGATAGACTTAATTGCAGGAGTAACACATGCAGTTGTATGCATAGAGAACAGAGCCAGGGGAGAAGGTGCTTGATTCAGCAGTATCCTCATTCATTCACAAACAACAGCACCAGGCTCCTGATGGAAAATAACTGAAGAAGAGCAGAGCTGCAGATACAACCATAATAACATGATAAAACTGTTAAGAAGACAAATGCTTTCATGTGGAATGTAAGTAAAGGAGTAAGGATGACTTAGTGCATGGAAAAAGAGGAGTAAGGAGTTCAGATGTTTAATACTCATGTAGCCACAGCTTCTCAGCACCATCATTCCACCTGTACCTAAGCATTTTTTGGTTTTAATATGTTATTTAATCGATCAACTATTATTGGACATGGGTTTGGAAACCCAAATCACCAGCTGCTGGAGTCCTCCTGAAGCAAGAGGACATGATGACATGTATTATTAACAAATGCTGATGTGCACACATGTAACTACTCACACTTGGAAGCATTCATCTGATGACTGTCAAATCCTCCAAACGTTTCTGCCCTTCTAGGGAGAGAGATGGGGCCAACTCCTCCTTCTTGTTCCATGGCAGTGCTGCTGACCTGCTGCCCGAGGGCAGTGCCCAGGCTCCTGTTCACCAGGTCTTGCAGCAGTTCAACTGACAAAAAGCAACAATATCTCTGTTAAAGACCATTTTGGTCTTCTAAGCTATTTTAATCTGAGCTCAGATCAGAAATTCACATGCTTTGCTGTACTAAGAAACCACGTTTCTATGACAATGTTATGAACAGTACGCATTCTCCCTGCAAAATCTCAGTCTGCTTCACCATTAACTCCACTACAGACCTCTGCACAGGCTTACACCTCCCTCTCTTCCTCCAGGCAATCCTGGTGTGCTCTGACAACACAGTTTAATAATTTTTAGCCTCTCCAAAAATCACACCTTAGTCAAAAGCCTTACTCCTCACAGATACCACAAGCATGATGGTATCTGTGTCTCATCAAGGTGCAACAGCTGGAACCCAAGCCCTGCTCTCACACCTTGCTGAGCCTGAAGCATAGAAAAGCCTGACTAAATTTCAGTCAAGGATAAATCCTGCTCTGCTCCTGACCCCAGTGCAGATTCAATGCATGGCTATTTTCTTTCTTTGCTCCTGACCCCAGTGCAGATTCAATGCATGGCTAATTTCTTTCCTGCCCTCTTCCAGCAGCCATCAATGTCTGCTTCCTTTCCTGATCCTCATTACTTTGTACCTGAGACAATGCTGTGAGTAGCAATATCTCCTTATCTATGCTTTGTTCTGATAAAGAGAAGATTTGCCCTCCAAAACTGCTGGTTGAGGACGGATGGCTTCACTGAAGGTGGGTCCATTGGTTAGTGCAATTAACGTGTCATCCTCACTTGCTCACCTTCATTTATTGCAGTTTTCATGATGGCCTCTCCTTTTGGTGCCTCTTCTGTGTTGGCTCTGAAGAGCAGCCTGGAGCCTGGCATGTCCTCCTGCACAGAACTGTCTGCCATGTCCCGGAAGATCTTGGCCTTCTCCTCCAGCAAGAGGAGGATCTGCTTATCCTTCTGCTGAAGTTGTTCTGTGGGGGTGAACAGAAAACAGAGATGAAGAAAATAAAAGCACTGGCAAGAAAACTGAGAGATTCCCAAGATACTGGCCCCATCTAGTGGAACCTCAGGAACCATACAACCATGCACAGCGACAGCACCCACCAGGCTCAGAAGGTAAGTAATGCAAGCAAGGTGAGGTGCAAGCAAGGATTTCAGTTCTTTGCTGGATTCTCCCTCATTTGAAAAAAGCCATAGCTCAACCACAAATTCCAACATAGCAGTTCCTGTAAATGTTTCAGAACCACTTCCCAGCTCTATTCCAGGCAGGGTTTTACCTTTCAGTCCTCTCACTTTTGCATCTGACACCTTCTTTTCAAAGTCAGACTCACAGGGGACTCCTTCGTCTTCATCTTTATCCCTGGACAACAGACATAGCTCAATTACTACCAGGACCTGACCGTGTGCATCACCTGCCTTGCAAGAATAGCTTCATAGCTTACATGGTGTTCATTGTGTCTTGAATGATCTGTATCCAGCCGTTACGCTCCTCTTTGGAGCTGGCATGGACTTCCACCATTTCGGGATCTTTCACACCCATACTGATGAGGAACAAACCCTTCTCTTCATGAGCCACTTCTCGTACAATCAGCTTCTTCAGAGAGATCACAGTAGATTTCTGGTCCTTCAGAGGGAAAGAAACAGGTGAGGAGGGTGAACAGTGCTAGTTCCCACATGCAAACTAGCATTGAGAATAACCAGTAGCCATACTACTGCCTCTCTCAGGTTGTAAACGTCTTCTGAACCTATTAGCTAATTAACAAAATAAATCATTTTAATGGGAGCCAAAGAACAGGGAAGGGTTTGCTTTCCTCCAGTAGTTTTGTAGGAAAAGCAATTCCACCCTGTTCCATTTCAACGAGGAATTAATTTAAATTTGACCCTGTGGTTTTGCAAACTCTCCCATGTTTTGCTCTAACTCCAGCAGACCTTTGATCTCATCTCCTGCCCACACTCTCTCTGTCATTAATATCAGAGCTCCTTAGACTTAGCACAGCTTGCTAGCGCCTGCTTCACAGGCATTATCTTCCCAATCTCTCCCTAGGATGGAGTAACATCTTGTTTTCAAATCCCACAAAACCCCTGCTGTTCTCAGAAGCTCAGAGCTGACTCCGGATGGAGAAGACTTGTGTGTAAGATGACGTTCACTGTGTGCTCTGGTCTGTGCAACCAGCCTGCTCGGCTGAAAGGACCTTTTGCTGTTGTGTCATCCGCAGATGAGTCAGCTCCTTTGTGCCTTTTACAGGATGCTATGACTGAGGTGAGTTGGTGGCTGTTCACTAGCGAGACTTGTGTGTAAATCAGCACCCCGCTCCCGCAGGGCACTGAGTCTGTGCTGATCATTGGTGGAACTGCAATAACAAATCATCAGCTTTCAAAATGTTCATGGAGTGGAAAGGTCACAAGGCTTAGCCAGTCTAGACCATGCCTGCAAGGTACAGCCCCAACAGAGTCAATTAGGTGCTAGGCTTTCTTTAGCAGGTCAGTATGCCTCGTCCTTTGATGAGGCCTGTCTTCAAAAGCTAACAGTTTTGTTCTTATGCCTTACAAACCTACTCCTTTGACATTTATTTTCAAGCTGTTCTGTTGAATTTACAACAGTGGCATTTCAGCACCCCACCCCCACAGCAGCTCACAATATATTCCTTCTGCTAAGGTTAATTTTTACAGTGTTTGTATTATCCCACTGCTCCCTCCTACCCCAATCACTGCTTTAATTTGCACAAACTGAAAAGCAGTGAGTGTATCAAGTGACAAGCAGGTTTTCAAGGCCAATTATCAGTTGTGCCACAGCACTGCAGAAAGGAAAGGCTGGGCATGAAGACATGTTTTCCAATTAAAAAGACTGCAGTTCATTCAGCAAACGAAATGTTATAGGCAAGAAAATTAAGTTGTTTAGCAGGCTACAGCTTGTTCACTGCACAACACACATCAAGGGTCTCTAACATAGAAAACAAAGGGGGACTAAAGGTTGAAGCCTTACCAGTGAGGCAAAGACGTACTTCTGGTCCTTCTCCTGAAGGAACACGAGCATGTCAGAGAGGAGAACAGCCTGGACTTCTGCAAAAGAAAGAGCACACCAGTGCAGTATAACCATGCAACCCACCCCAAAGCAGAGTTCTTTTAATAACACCAGTGCTTGGGAGGGATAGGGCTGCTTTTGCAAAGCCTGGAAGCAGGGTCAACCTCCCAGTTAGAAAGAGGAACAGAGGCAGCTCCTGGAGATGCCAGGTTAGCTCTGAGCCAACTATGGGTTAAGGAGAACACAACAGCACACAGGAAACCTGTAGGATCTTCTCTCATCTGTTGGAGCAGGGGTGCTCCTCTCCAGCCCCATGCTTTCTAACAGCTAGGATATCAGCCTAACAGCAAAAGCCAGAGACACTTACTAAATAGAAGCCCTCTTTTCTCATACAATCAATATTTTAGCCCTTGAGCAAAATATCAGCACAGGAAGTTTTGGGTTTTATGGCTCTCCTGATGAGTGGTTTGTGGAGTGTAAATTATCATGCAATAACAACATTTGTCAGCTGCAGTTTCTTTCCCAGGATATACTGACTTGAGGAGGCACCACTAATTCTGCTCACAGACAAACACAATGCTTGCTGGCTCCAAGGGGAGCTGACAGAACCTGCACGAGATGCAGGACCTGGCTTTGTTTCATGGGAGAAGGAAGCAAACATCAAGCCAACAGAGGATTTTGAATCAGAATACAGCGTTTTCCCAGAGTACGCGTACAGCCTTCCAAGTCTCTTAATGACATATTGCAAAGTTACACAGCAACTGCCAAGTATATTCATTAGCAGAATGAAGCCCCCATGATCCAAAGGGAAAAGGTCAGTGACCTGCTACACCACTTAGATACACATAAGTCCATGGGGCCAGATGGGATCCACCCAAGGGTACTGAGCGAGCCATCAGGTGCTTACCAAGCCACTTTCCATCATTCATCATCAGTCCTGGCTAACCAGAGAGGTCCCAGTTGACTGGAAGTGAGCTACAGGGACCCCCACCTACAAGATGGGCCGGAAGGAGGATCTGGGGAACTATAGGCCTGTCAATAACTTCCTCAGTGGCAGGAAAGGTTATGGAGCAGATCATGCTGAGTGCCACCACCAGCCATGTGCAGGACAAGATGATAAGGCCCAGTCAGCATACTGAAAGGCAGGTCCTGCGTGACTGATGTGATCTCTTACTATGACAAGGTGACCTACTCAGTAGATGAGGGAAAGGCAGTGAATGTTGTCTACCTAGAGTTTAGTAAAGCTTCTGATACCAGTTCCCACTGCATTCTCCTGGAGAAACTGGCTGCTCATGGCACTGAAGTCACCATCTCTGGAGGCATTTAGAAGATGGGTAGATGCGGCACTGAGGCACGTGGCTTAGTGGCAGATTTGGCAGTAGTAGGTTAACACTTGGACTTGACAATCTTAAAGTGTCTTCCAACCTAAATGGTTCTATGATTCTATAATGCCCCACCCAGAGCCCTCAGTACAAAGAAGTTTTGTGTAATGTACTTTGGAAATCTTGTGACAGAGAGGAAGCAAACCAGAGAGTTAAACCATCCGGTGGGTAATTCCTTCCATTTTGTTTTGGGAAGACAGGATCTGTTCCAAATAAGAGAAACACCAAACTTAAATTAAAGCTGCAAAATGAACTCAAAGCTCTGGGACGTTTACTGAAGTCGACATTTGCCTATAGCTTCTCTATTGCCTACACACTTTGCAAGAGGGGAAATGCTAAAACCCTCTAAGAAAAGTTCTTGATATGCTTTTTTTGTGCTCCATTTCAAATCCTGCAAAATACCCTGAACGTATGAAGTAGCTGCTCTCTCCGTGGGCTCTGCAGCTTGTCTGCAGGCCCTGCTTTCACTGGGAGCTTGCACTGCAAACAGATGTATATTTATGCACTTCTATCACTTAAGAAATGCAAATGGAGCCTGTACTGCTCACAAGATTTCACAACAGCAGAACTTGCTCCATCCACCATCTAAAGTTAGAAATACTCTTGGGGGCCTAGAAACCATCTGTAAACTTCCTGTTTCCATAACCTCAAAGTAAATCATACCCAATGTGGAATCTCATGTTATCACTGCTTCACTGCTCAGCAGCACCAGGCTACCAGCTCCCATTCATGCCCAAGTACCGTAGTTTAATCAGCTTAATCAGCTGGAATGAAAGAAGAAAAGCCCAGCCTTCCTACCAAGCCTGAGACACAGCCCTGTCTGCTCTTACTCTTACTGTGGTCCCTGCTGAAGGCTCCCTTGCGATATTCAGTGTTTAATTCAGTAGAGAACTGCAGTGTGCAGCAAAGCACAGCACCTCAGAAAAACTATTTCCATCCAATAACAAATGACAAGTAATTCAAGAAAACACTGACCTAACAACAGGCAGCTGCAGGGACACCTCTCCCCAACAGTTTGCATCAGCAGCTCAAGAGGTTCAAGAGCAACAGATGCCTGGCGCAGCTCTCTGCACCTCCAGTGAAACTGGGATGGTGATGCTAAGCCTGAGCAGCCCCACTGCAGACCTTAGAGGAACGGGAACACTGTGCTCCTGGTGGGCAGGGCCAGCGGGAAGCTGAGGTTGGGTTTCAGATGCAGCAAGCACACTTCCTGGAACCAGTCACTGCACATGTGCATGGTGGCACGGAGATCTGACTCAGTGCTTGGGGTAACTACAGCCCCATCATGTTCTCCTGGCCCGAAGGATACCTCAGCAACTCTGCTCCTTAGCTGATGCGCTGAGGTGTCAATGCAAACCAAGACTTCAGCAGGCATAGTCACCAGAAGGAAAAGCAGCTATCTATCACCCCAGAAACAACACGAGGAATCAGAAATGCTGCGATGAGAAGGGAGTGAACAGCACGGGGAAAGCTGCTATCAAAATCTCTCAAAGCAGAAGAATAAAGGCTAGAGACACCAATCTGAGCACTAATCCTACATCCATAGAGAGTGTACTGCATCCTCTCTTGGCTGAAGGCAGGTTATTAGTCTTACCTTTTAACCGACCAGCTGCATTTTTTAGTGAGACAGGCCCATCTCGGATGAGCTTCCGATGCCTCAAGTCCTCTCTTGCAAACATCTGGCCACTCTTCATCCTCATGATGGACTTGCTATCCGTCCGGCTGTAAATCTCACCAAGACGCATCTTCTTTTCATAATTGCTGACTTTGCTGTTGACTGCAGCAATCACATCTTTAACCAGGTTTAATGACTGAGTCAGGTCTTCATGTTCCACTTCGTTTTCTGTGAACGACAAAAAGAAACACCTCAATTTCAATTCATCCATGTGGAGTCTTAACTTCCCGATTTTCCTTTCTTCCTTCTCTCTATCCCAAATTCTCACTTTATAACTTTTTAATACTTTCATGAAACAGCCTAATTCTTCCCCCTTAAGGGAAATTTCATAAGACCTTTCACATACAGGGTTGGGAACTATTCCAATATACTCTGTATATGAGATGGTACAGATGAAACACATAGATTAACCACACATTTTAGCCATTACCAAACAAGCTGAGAGACTTTGGAGTCTAAGCATGTTGCTCCATAATTAGCTACAGACAGACTTATAACAACTAAATCAAGGCACCTGAATAACTTATCTTAAATGGAGATTCAAAATTGAGCTATCATTTTACAGCAGTAGAAGACAATAATGACCAGATTAGTCGGCCTATTCCAAGTAAACCTGCTTCAGCTGAAAAGGATCCAAGAGATTTACACTGAAGGAACAAATACATGCTTAGAATTGATGAACTGGTCCCTACCTTTGGTGTACTGCAGTATCCTTTGTAAAAGGACTGGGTACTTTGTGATTCTCTGTGTTACCAACAGGATACATTCAGAGATCCCAAGACGCCTCATCAGGGAGCTGTTCATTTTTTTCTATGGAACAGAGGATAAGTTCAGTTCTGTAGCAAAACACTCACATGCTTTTTGCATCAACTCTATCTGTTCTATCAGCTTCTACCTTGATGAATGCCTGAAACCGCTTGTCCTTTGAGTACAGATCCTTGAAGTTATTTACTGCCTCGTTGTGATGCCCGCAGAATTTGCCATATGTTTTCTTCATTCGCTCGGCACTCTCCCCGGAGAACTGCAAGACATGAGGCACAGGGGTGCAGTTTGCACTGAGCTCCTGCTGTGACATCCCAGCAGTGCCTGCCAGGCTCTCAAAAGAACTTAATGAAACCAGATTAGTCCAAGGCATCCTAAACCAAGCAAGCAGATCTCTAGAAAGTAAAGAGCTGAGTTTGGGACTTCACTGAGTTCACAGCGCAAAATCTGGGTAGATTTAGATTAGCTGTCGGGAAGAAATTCTTCACTATGAGAGTGGTGAGAAACTGGGCTGCCCAGAGAAGTTGTGGCTGCTCCATCTCTTGAAATGTTCAAGGCCGATGGATGAAGCCTTGAGCAACCTGGTCTAGAGGAAAGAATCCCTGTCTGTGGCAGGGGCTGGAACTAGATGGAATTTAAGGTCCCTTCCAACCCAAACCATTCTACGAGTCTACGACTTACAGGGCTTAAAAGCTAACAACAAAAAAAAACGAAGACAGGCAAAAAGAAGGAGAAAGTGTAGATAAAGGAAAATGACCGGCCCAAAGTTAAACAGCAGGTCAGTAACTCTGCCAACAAACACACAGGACATATTTTTGCTGTGGGCTGCTGCCAACCCTCCAGGTTATGGTCAAACCATTCTGTGCTTCTCTTTCCCACAATATAAACTGAATTAATTTTCATCATTATACTTTTGTCTGCAAGAGCAGAGACTGCTTCAAAAAGCAGAGGCAGAGATTTTTACAGGTGTGAAGAGTAAAGGTGCCATCAGCTGTGGTTATCTGAATGGCATAAACACGAGGAAAGAAGAGTGCCTGGTTTCCATCTGTGTTTTCAGAAATGCATGCATTTTCCAGCACTTACTTGATTCACCAGGATGTCGCCTATCCTCTTGATAACAAAGTTCTTTTCACTTTTGTCTGCCAATGACTCCTTCTTCCTTTCCAGAATCCGCTGGAAGAAATGACTGTGGATGTGCAGCAAGTTTTCCAGGCAGGGAAAGATCTTGTCCACAACTTGTTGATCATACTGCAGTTCCTTTAACATCCCTGCACTGTACACATCATTCATGATCTTCAAGGTGCGGACATGATGCATTTCTGTCTGCATTAGCTCTGTATACAATGAGGACAAGAGCAAAACCATGGTCACTGTGGAGTACATGGTACAGTATAAGGAAAAGCTGCCATTAGAAAAGTCTTCCATAATTGGGGTTCTCTAAGGGGCTTCAGAAAATTTCATGTTAGTTATTGAAACATCAATTGTTTCATGTGTGGGAGAAACAGGGCAGCAGAGGAATCCCACAGTAAAGAGCTCTGGACATTGTTGCTGAGGTCTGAACCTTCGGCACTGTTATCCACTTCTTCCTAACACCTCACTGCCAGCTTCAACATAGTGCGCTTTTGCTGTACAGGATGGCTCTTCATCCAGCAGGCAAAGACTTCCTAGGAAGTTGCTCTATTGTAACAGAGTTCAAATGTTATCAGCAGACAAATGAGGTCATGGCTTAATCCCAGCCAAGGCTATTCCTGTTCCTTTTTTAATTTGATGCCTTCCAGATAGATGAAATGCAGAAAGCAAGCTTTCACAAACACATTACATTTCTAAGAACTTCAAAAATGAAACTTGGCTTCTGAAGAAACCAAGACAATGTTCCTATTCCTTGACCTAAAGCTTCCCCAATCCGTGCTTGCAAGTATATCAAGAAGCTATCTACAAGTGAGAAATTTAGATGAAGGTATCTCACCGTAAATGACATCTTGCCGTTTGACAACATCTTTGTTCTGCTGCTGTAAGAACTTGCTGTCCACTACTTGGCTCCAGGACTCTGCCTCCAACTGCTTGGAATCTAATTCCAGGTCTCCCATCAGCTGTCCTTCGTTCATGTCTGCTCCTTCACAAAGCAATGCAGTGCCATTAGGATGTGGGTCACTTGTCTTGTTTGAGATTCCTGTCTATTCGTTTTGCTTAACTTCACTTGTTTAGTTTCTCTGTCATACCACAGACATCACATTCTCCTTTACTGACAGAATAATGATTATATGGAATTACACCACATAAGGCCCAGGTTATAGAAAGCACTTTTAAATGCTATTTGCACAAAACTAGTTCACCATTTTCACACAGACCAAATTCTAGCTCAGATGAAAGGACAATGGATTCTTTATCTATACAGCAACAAGATCACAGATGAATAAAAACCACAATACCCAGTTTGTCTTCCTTCATTTACATCACTGAATTGAGGGAACTTAGGCCTATGTGAAATCTGTGTTTTCAAGCTTAGAAAGCCAGAACTGATGCAGATGCAAGTGAACACTACATACATTACATACACACATGTAGTCATCCCTGAAGACATCCAGGGTCAGACTGGATGTGGTTCTGAGCAACCTGATGTAGTTGAAGATGTCCCTGCTCATTGCAGGTGGGTTGCACGAGATGACCTTTGAAGATCCTTTCCAACCCAAACTAGTCTATGATTCTGTCTTTAATAAAGAGTGCTCATTTGTGCGAGAACTGGGGAATGTTCTCTTGTCACCATAACCATGCCCTTGTTTAGTCCTTAATAAATTAAGACCATTCTGTTATTTTCAGGCAAATATTGGCCAAGATGTAAAAATACTAATTATAGCTTAGAAAAGCACTATATATAAAAATATTGAAACTTCAGAAATGAATTTAACTGATTTCATTTTCAAACCCACAAAACTAAATAGCTCCTTCCTCATTCTGGGAAAAACACAAAGCATGAGGCATCATCATTAGCATGAAGAAGGTGACAGAGTGCAAATTCTGCGGCTGTATGAATGGGCCAGAGGTGCGGAATAGAAGAGGAAATGTTTGTCCCTGAGCTAAATTCCATGTAACTCAACTGTAACTGAAACCTTCTACATGTTTCCCCACAATTCAACAAGCTAAAGAAATTACTGTGTATTACTATATTCCAACATTAAAGTAAATGCATTTACTTGTCCATTAGAAAACACTTGCTGAAATGACAGAATGGATTTCCTATGTCTGGAAAGCAGCCACAGGGAGCTCTTACCTTCATCAACCAGCGATTCCACAGATTCATTCACCCGGCTGATTTTATGTAGGGAGTCTGTTGACTGAGACAGGAATTTCCAAGTGTGTATTAAGCTGTCATCGTTCCCGACTCTGCAGAAAAACAGAACACAGAATATTGTTTACGACAATAAAACCCTAGCCAAATGTACTTTGAAATATGCATAAGAAATGCATTTTTAATATGAGTTGAAAACCAAAGCAAACATTGCATGGTTATGCACAAGGCAGTCCTGAAACACCATGAAGACTGCAGCTCTGTGCCTCCACCTGATGGCTATGGACACAAACATACCTGAGCTGCAAATGTGTGCTTGCTCTGTACCCAGCCCAAGGCAAGGGAATTCCCTCCTTGAGCCCAGAGCATCTCTGTGAAGTGGCCTTGAATATAACCAAGCCAACTAACATGGGTCTGAAGCCATGCCTTGACTAGACTAACCCAGACGATCCGACTGTGCAGAATACCACTGATAGTATCATACATGATATGGGTATTTCTGGTTTTGTGATGCTCTTTTTGTACCTTTGACATATATCACAGTGCACAAATTTATTTTTAATGAGATGAATTTCTCTATGCTCACAGAGTCAGATAATACACACACACTCATGCAGGCAGGGAGCAACCTTACCCTGCAATGTTCTGTATTGAGACACTTTTGGACAGTGCTGTAGGCTGTTGTGATCTCCTGTTATTGAATATTGAGGTTACGGTGTTTTCATCAGGAGCAAGTATTGCAGAGCGAGGGCGCTCCTTCGGTTGTGAGCCTGGAAGGGAAGCATCAGGGAAAAGTCAGTTCATGTAACTGCATGGATAACTATGAGGATGATGACTTAAACCAGGTTCTGCAAGTTACTTCTTTTTCTTTCTAGAGCCATCACCAGATCTCAGCTGTTGGGAATAGCCATACAAAAGGATAGAACATCAACCCCTGTGCAGAGCTGGGTGCGTTGCACTATGCTGAAAAGATCTAGGTGGGATCTGCAAGTCCAGGAACATACACTTGGGAAATAGAACTTAATTTTATTTGACAAATAACCATATGTGACAATCTACTATGTTGTTTTTTAGTTTCCCTGATCCTGTAATTATATATGTCTCCCATCTCCCTGCTTCTGATCGAACTCTTGAGACAGCTTTCTCTATCAGTACGTACCACAGAGAAATGCTAATCCTTATCTCATTATACTAGCACATACCTTGAACTAATCTTTCCATATTTATTCCAGATTTTCCCTTCTTCAGATGCATTCCTGCTTCTGGAGCAATACCTCTGAATTTGATGGCAAGTACCACAGCGGGTACATCTGTATCATACAGTGTGGTTCCATCTAGTGATCTCCAAGCTATTACTAGGTAAGCTTATCAAATCATGGCACTACAAAACCCATATGGGCTGTTTCACTCCTATTCTTTGACCTCAGTCACACTGGGTAGGTCCACAGAGCAGTGTGTATCTCAGTGCAGCCAGGAAGAATTTGTCAGTACTGCTCCTATTCAAAATTAAACTTTCTGGTTTTACTATCTCAAAACATAAAGACTATTTAATTAACGAAACAAACCAAACAAAGTATTGTGAGCAAGGATCTTTACAACCTGTAATATGAACGATTTCTGTTAATATAATACTCCTAGTTTGATTCTTTCCAATGTCAGATACCATGAACATAGGCTTCATCTTCCAGATTCTGTGGACTTATCAGCTGTAGGCTTTCAGTCAAGTAGCTGTTCTAGATCTAATATGACTACACCTGCTTACAGCTACATGGACACTGCGGAAGTGGATGCACTCTGTGCAGCTTCACTACAAATACTGAAACCCCAAACACTGCTTATCATGCTCAGAAAATGCTCTTATCCCTGCTTCAATAAATGCTTATCCTTCATAGTACTGGATATTAGTTGTCAGAACAGCTAAGAATAGCAGATAGAGATCATCATTAAAGTAGAGGGAAAGGAAGTTTTCTTACTTTTGTTTCTCATGGTTACTGTGGGTAATGAAGAGGTATCATGTGCCTGCAGCATCCCTCTCTGTGGCTGAAAGAAAAATGAAATTCGCTGTAATTTCTTCTTCCCTTCTCCCATCAGGCTGTCACATAAGTAAAATAAAAAAGCTGTGTTTTTTTCTGAATCCTCTCACAATAGATCATTTCTGGCTCTATGTGTCTGTAACATACCTACATACTTACCTGCACACAATCACAATCACACACACTGGTAGCCCCCCTCCAGTTGTCATCAATGAAATGGACAAAATAAGATGGAGAAATGTGCAGCAAATGAGAAGATAAAAGTGCTGACAATAATGAAAAGAACTGAAAATTGTATAAACATTCATCAGCTTGGAGAACCACCTGCACAAGAGGTCGCTCACATTTGGGGCAAGCGCAAATTCTGCACGTTCCTCATATAAACAGGTTAATGTGGCATGACAGCATTTGAGAATTAAGATACAACATTTAAGGGTGCTGGACACCCCTGAATTTTGCCAGCAAAGTGTTTTGTTGGTTTGCTTTTGATTATTTTAGGGTTCTTTTAATTGAAGCATAGGACAGACCGTAAGGTTCCTATGTACCTCAGGGAACAAACACCCTGTGGTGCTCACCTGTAGCATTCACACACTCATAGGGCCAGCTTTCTATTAACACGTGGGTCCAGGGAACTGCAGGAGAGCTTAGGGATGTTATTCACTATAGCAAAGGGGCTGAAGTTCTTTCCAACAAGCTGGAAACTTTGGGACGTATGGTAGAAGATGTTATACATGTGCATGCTAAACTGATTAAACCTTTTTGTTAATTCAGTGAAGTAGATGAATCTCTTACCTTCATTTTGACCTTTGCACAAGAAGCAACACTCTCCTTACAGCCTTTGTGAACAATTGCATTGCAGTCTGTCAAAAACATAAAACCCCCACCACTGATTAAACAACAAAACACAGAAACAGGGCAGGTTTTGCCATTTCTAATCTGAACTGTTATCTTGCACAACTGAGAATTACAGCTTTCAGGCATCACTGTGGTTTACATGAGCAGCTACAGATACTGAGAGACAGGGCTGCTTTCCTGGATAATTAGCTCTTTGTTTGTTAACAAGGTTTCCTCATGGAATTTAACAGGAAATTCTGTTTAAAAATCAATACAAGGTTAAGTTGCCAGGGTTCCAATGGGTCTTACTTGTAGAAAGAGAGAAAGAAAAAAGATGGAGTTATCCCTCTGAAAGAAAAGGGGGAAAGCAGAAGCAGGAGGCAGAAACAGAACCCAGGCCAGTATTTTCTCTGAAAACACAAATACTGTTCTCATCAAGACAAGGTTTATGGGACCCAAAAGACAGGAAAAGGACAGGAACATTCATTTACATCAACTCAGACATATCATGGCCAAGATCTACAGTACAGGAACCAAGTGCTGCTGTACTGCAAGATTATCAGGAAAAGTAACAGGAGCATCTGCCAGGTGCCCGTGTTTGTGAGGCTGGGACTTCCTGCTCAAAACCAGACTGAAGCCACTGTTTTAGTCCAGAACCACATTTACTAATGCAAAAAGCATCATGCTTTACCACCACCCTTTGCTGCATATATGCCAGAGTAAAAGCTGCTGTCTTTTACAGAACCCCCTGAGTCTGCCCATGATCCCTGCCAGCAGATTTCTGGGAATTTTTCTGGGAAGAATTCTGGGAAGTTTTCAAAGATTATTAGCAATAATTCTGGAAAAAGAAGTTTTAATTGGGCTTGGAACATTAACTCTTCTGACAGATAACAGACAACTCAGATGCTCTCAGTATACTGAGATTCAGTAGCTTAGAGAAAACCTGTTATTTCCACTCATTCATGGAAACACATTTTAACACAGATCATGAATTTTAAGAGTACATTACACTGTAAGCATAAGGTTCTAAATTATTTCTAGAGGAAATACGAAAGGAAAAAGAAATCGATGCTCAGAATGCCAAATTTTGCTCATATTCCTAGCTTTTCTTACATTTGAGTCTACTTAATAAAAGCCAGTAACTGGTCTAATATTTTGAGAGAGGTAAGGCCACAGGGCGTTGCTATTCTGTCGATGTCCCACAGCTTCCTGTGCAAGAGAAGAAACCTGCATGTTCTTGCAAAAACTCACAGGAAGTATCATGTTTCAGATCAAACAAAGAAGAGGGATAGAACCTGGTGCATGAAAAGAGGCAGTGAGACAATTCAGAACCACTAATTCACATTCAAGCTTTGAAAGCCTGTACGTACCATTTAGCAGTAAGGCATTTTGATCTTTTTTAGACTGAAAACCTGGTTTCAGGGACTCGATTCCTCCAATTTAACTCTTCAGCAGGCAGGAAGAGTTAATGCTTAATGCTAACACCACTAGCATTAAGAATTAAACCTCCCAGAAGCTTGTTTTCTGCATCACTGATCATAAAAAATGAAAGAGGCCAGGCAGATAGCTATAAAAAATGAGAAATTTTTTGCTCACCCATTTGTTTTAGAGCATACTAAATCTTTCAGCATTGACTACCTGGTTCATGAAGCTGGGGGTGACACTGAAAAGTGGAGACATTGATTTTAAATGAGCCAGTGTTTAAAAAGCATTAAGAAAAAGTCATCCATAGGTAGACAGAGCAGCAATGGTAGCAGTAAAGAAGTGGTCTACAACAGCACAGGAACAACACAGCATCTGGTGCTGGTTACCAGTCACTTCCAAGGCATTTAATGACTGATTTTAAGATGCAATGGGAGAAAGGACCACTCTCGGATGTGAGCTGTTCTGGGCCTGACCAAACTTTCCCATGGCATTCATTTTTTGGCTAACACACTAAACTTACAGTAATTTTCTGCTGTAACTCAAAAATCAAGGAAAGAACATCTATGATACACCATACAATCTTGCTGGATTATTTTAACTCATTGGGATACAGAGATATAAACTGGGATATATTTGATTTTTTTAAGTGGCTTCAGAAGCTGTTAAGAAAGTCAAGCAGGGAAAGGGTGAAGATGCATTTGAGAGCTGATAATTATTGATGTCTTCCAGTTCCCATCAGGCTGACACAGAGTGTGTCTCATGCAAAGAACTTTGCTGGAAGCTCTTCTCTTCCAGGAAACTCCAAACTGCCATTTGGGATTCAGCTGGCTGCTCCTTTCCCTGCTCACTGAAGTTGTTTCATATGCTGCTCATCTACCAGAACGAAGAGACAGAGCCTCCTGCTGCAGCCTGGGAGCAATTCCCATACATGCTTTTACTCATCTCTAGGCTAGTGGAGTAAAAGGTATTATTAACAGTGAGGAATGGAGAGCTCTGAGCTGCAGTGAGAAAATACCTTATTTGCCTGCATATTCTGTAGCTTTGAGCACTGAGTAACCCAGCCAAGACTCTGTTCTTGACCACACAAATGCCACTGGCCTTATCAAGCCATAGGCATGTGAAACTGCCTGATAAGAAAAGAGAACAGAATCACCAGTCTCGCAGGAACCCTCTGCCATGGTTCCTGCACTGCCTGCATTGTACTGAATGTACTTCACATGCACACAGGTAGTTGCCATTTGAACTGTGCTACAATTTCATGTATAAATGGATGTCATGCTGTTCTCACAGAGGGCTCACCAAAGCAGGGTTTCACAGCACTAAAGCAATGCACTAAAACACTACACATGGATGGGATATTTGTTCTTCACTGGAAATAAAAAGCCAGCTTTGCCTGTCCTCCATCCATCTTAACACCGCACCTTAGCCCCAAGCCGTAAGATGCAGCCAAAATATCCAAAGTTCTCCAGCTGACTGATACATCCCAACAAGCAGGGGCAGAAATCCCTGTGGGATGCTGTAATGTCCAAGCACAGGTCAGGAACACTTGGACACTTCCTCACAGCCACAACTCATTTCAGTCCAGCTTCCATAAGGCAACACACTGCTCCATGAATCACTATCTCTGAAGACACCCCTCCACCCCACAACCTTAAGGAAGAGGAAAATAAAGGGTAATGCTTGCATTTCCCATATCAGATTTAATGAAAAACAAAAGGAAGGGGAGGGAAAAAACCCAACTTACTTGCACAGTAGTACGAATCCTTATTAAAAGGTTTCATACAGTGGTAACAGGTTGCTTGGGCTACAACGGAGGTTGCAGTGAAGAGATGTCCATTTAACAGCTTCTTATCCTTTTCTTTCTCCTTGGAATCTTTGTCCTTCTCTTTAGTCTTCTCTTTATCTTTCTCTTTTTCCTGTCGAGAGAAAAATGAACAAACATCGCGTTACTTTGCAGAGGTCTCTTCTCTAGTTACAAATTCTTCAGTGTTTGCCTTTGGCACTATGACGGTATCGATCGGTGCACACCTTAACAATAGCCATGTGTGTGCATAGCCCTGCTGAAACTTCAGCTTTCAGCCCCCACGGATATGGATTAACATACCATGGACTTGCAGACCCTTCTGCATGGGGATCTTGCCAACAGAGATGAATCTCTGCTCTGAAGGCAGCTACTTTCTTCCACTTTTGTGTTATATTTGCTTAGTGTAATGACTTCCCTCTTCTGGGCTCTCGTGAATCTCTTCAGTACTTTCAGTAAATTGTGTTAAATACAATACCATGTGTAATGTGCATCAAACTTCCAACACAGGTTATTTTTAAGGCCAACATGTAAGACTCATGCTTTAGCAACTGAGTGTTTAATGGAGAACACAAGTTCTTCCTCGCTACCTGCACAGCATCACTGCCAGAGTATTTTTACCTTCATTGTCCTTCTGACTACCAACCTTCCCATCAGCTTCATGTAACCCCAAGTAACCTTGTGTAACATTTTGGGGATATAGATCTTTCTCAAACTCTTGATATAAGGCACCGCAAAAAGGCTGTGGAACAGCAGCAACACTGTAAAAGATCATCTTGTGTTCCAGAAGCCACATTCAACCTCTGGGCTACTCAGCTATGGGAAGCTGTCAAGCACAGCCAGCTTCCCCCATTTTTAGCAGAGTTTTTGCTTACTTTTCTATTGTAAAAGGGACAGAAAATGGTAAATACTAAAAATTTGGAGCATTTTTTACCTGAAGCCTTTTGTGGATTTGGAATTCTCCCAAACAATTTTTAAAGAAAACACCACAGAAAAACTCCAAATTTGAATGATACCAACAACTCCTTGTTTTTCTATGTACCACTCTACAAAATGGTTACCATACAATCTGTATTTTAACTGTTACTGCAGATTTCATGGCATCTGAAAGAGAAGTTTAACCAGAAAGTGGTTCAGGCTTCTGTGAGCTTACCTTTCCATTTTGTTATTTATATGCAACATGCCCTTTGCTAAATACTGTCAAAGCTAAGTATCAGGGAGCAGCCCATGCGAGTGACTGCCATGAAGCAGTTAAAAGAGGTACTGAGCTCTGCAGTCATCAGCAGGGAAGCTTCTGATGACACACTCAAGTAATAAGTAACTCAGCCTAAGGTCTATCCTCTCTCAACACACCCCAGGCAAAATGCCACTGTCGGAGTCTCTCCCTATAAAGACTCGTAAAAAGAAAGTCTATTTACTGGCCTCAAATGCTATTCTGTTCTGCAAATAAGCAAAACCAGAGCATTACCGTATGGAATAATCCTGTCTGAAGCAGAAAACCCGTCAGGAAGAGTCTGCTTTGCGGCACATCTCCGCCTCCAGTAAGCCATCATCTCAGATCACTATCCTGTGTAAAACTCCACAGCCCCACTGACCTCCCACCTTTAACCATGTCCAGTCTGGCAGGATTCAAGTGCTAAAACGCTGCAGTTTAGTCCTTGGCTGATGGTACCAAGTTGACCAAGTCTATTCCCAGGACTTGTGAAGCTCCAGGAAAAAAAGATCACCCTATGATCAAGGCAAGACTTTACGACATTCATGCTTAAAATGCCAAAGGGAGATTCATTGTCCTACACTTTAAACATACCTGATGCTTACTGCAAAGCCCAGTAATTCTACAGCCTGGAATAACACCCTCTTTTCGTAAAAATCACTGTAAAAACCATTTTAATTAAAGCTGAACAACCCCAGGAAAAACAGGAAATGTGTGCACCACTTTCAAGGAGGAAACAGCGAACTTCACACACAGGGTGCCAGCCGCAGCACCGAAACACAAGGTCTCAAAAGAGACTGTATTTATTCTTTGCTGTTCTTTTCCTGTGACAAGTTACTGGAACTTCTGTAAAAAGGTATTGTAAAAACAAACCCATTTCCCTGTGCTACTGAAGCTGCCACCATGACCTGAAGCTCAGCTTCATGGCTGAACCTGCAGCCATGGGCACTAACAGACAAGCTGGGTACCGCAGCTCGGTTGTACGATACCAAGGCCTGAAGTAGCGGATCCCACTCTGAAATAACCATGAAGCTCTTACCTCCCACTGCTTAAGTCCTACCAGCTTCACTGTTATTTGAGGTACTTCAGCAAATCTATTCCATTTAATCGACATCCTTCCCCTGGGGGCAGGAGAGCTGCTTCCCACCAGCATCAGCCCATTGCAACGGCCCCAAGCTTCCAGCCCGGCAGTCACAAAGCAGTTGAGCAAAGGGGGGAGGGCCCAACGATTGTTGCTAACTTCCTTGATGATGATTTTAGCTACTCTGCTGTTGCTTTCATCTTGCCCTACCTCAGCTTCCACTGCTAAAAAAACACATTAAAAAAGTACTACAGGTACAAAAAAATGGGATTAATATTATAGAAAGCACAAGCCAATGGGAGACCACCCATTTAAAAGGCAGAAGGTGGCAAATCAAACCCTCTGTGATGCTTACGATACAGGAAAAGTGAATTTTAACATACCTCAGTGCTGCTGTGCAGTGCTTCACTAAACAAAGTGCTCCATAAGACTTCCCAGACAGGAAGGCTTCACGTGTTTGCGCTCCTCCTGCTCTACAGGTCACAAATACTCCCTGTCTCCTAGTGCTTTCAAACACAACTCTTACTCTATACACTGAAGCGCTGTTGGTGGTACAGCACTGCCTAATAACTGCGCAAGGCAACAGAAATTACTCATCCTAGGTTTTTTGTCGTCATTTCGCAGAAACTCCCGACCAAAAGAAGAAAATGGGTATTCCTTTTTTGTCTCATTAACAGAGAAGGACTGTCACAAACTTGAATTTAGACTTCACAAACATGAATCTGTGCATGCTACTGATTTCAAGAGATTCCCTGACTAAACCCCAAGTAACAAAGAACATTCCAGACATGGGTAAATTCACACAAACTCCTATCAGTATCCACTTAAGTTACACACTCCAACATCCCTTTATTTTTAGGGGGGTTTACACAACTTTCTACACCATTTTTAAAGACTCATTGCTATTAGTAGCCTCAGATATGCTTTATTTCATGGGTCATCTCAGAAACAGTGCATTTCTGCAGGTTTGAAGTAAAACCTAGTTGGAAAGCAGTTGCAGGCTCCCTCCCTCCTGACAGGCCAGACAGCAGCAGCAATCAACTCTTCCTGTCCAACTTCCTCTTTCAAGGTTTGTTATATTTTCTTTTTAACTCTTACAGGTTTCCATCAGCCAGAAAGTTCTCAGAAATCAGTGCTCCCAAGAAGTTTCAGGCTGAATTATTTAAATGTGCAGCTGAAGCCTTCAAAACGTATGCAATGCAAACAGGCCACCGCAAGCAGAGAAGAAACCGTGATTTGAGTATTATGGCTTTTTAGTAAAATCACCAGAACTGATCTGAGCTTTGTAGTGCACGTTATTGTTGGGATTTTGGAGCAGTTCTGTATGAACCGCTTCAGACACTATTATGAAATTGGTGAAACCAGAGTACACTTATTTAACAAAAGCAAATATCTCAAAGCACTTCTGTTTTATCTTCTCACCTGTCCAGATCTCTTTTATCTCTGTGTGTGTGCATGTATATATATATATATATATATACACACACATATATCTCTACAGTTCTTGCTTTAGAGATTATACACCCGATGTGCAAGAACCGGTTAATGAATTTCCGGACTCCTTCAGAGGCTGTGCAATGTGCTCCATCACTTCTCACTAGTGGGTTGTACAGAGGTTTCTATGTAAAGAGATCTGTACTTTGCAGCAGGGAACAGCATTGTCTCAAAGCTGCAGAGCAGCAGCTCTTGCTTGCATCTTGAAAGGCAGAGCCATAAAGAGGAACTGTGCATTAGAATGACTGATCTCAATAGAGCTGGTACCTCATTGCAAAGGTGATGCAATCTTCCAAAAATAAGTATCCAAATGTGTGTTGGAGCATCAGAGCACACAAACCCAGCTATGTTAGAGGAACCTCAGGCTGAAACATCAAGTGCTTATGGTGGAAAAGGCTAAAATCAAGTTATTTTGTGCAGATGAAACATGTCTCCTCCCATACGTGTATGCTTCAGCCCCCAGCCTTATTCCACTATAGGCACAATAGTTATGCCACATTTTGTTTCCTGTTTGCTATGGAGACACTCATCAGAATATGTAATTATGCATCTCAGGGGCCTTCCAATAGTATTCACCAACATATTAGCTTCACATCACCTAACTGCATAATACACACAGCCTGCTGTGAGGTAAGGTGAAGTTAGCTTGTCAGGCATGATGAACTGAGGTGAGATTCAAGTAAAAAATCCAACCAAGCCAAACCCCTCCAACATATATTAACCTCCAGAGGACAACTTAAGGCAACAGCAGCCTCTGTGTGTGAAGTATTCAGCATTAATGTAGTTATTTCTGTAACCAATGCTGTTTCCAGGAAATTCGGCTGTGCTGAGCAGCGCCTGAGCTTCAGCAAATTAAATCCCAGGTTTTCAAGGATGGAAAAAAGGGAAAAATATAAATATTGGCCATCATTAAAGGTCACAGCTTGGGCAACTTCTCCAGCAGTGCATGAGGATTTTGTGGCAAAAAGTAGAAATAAAAGGGAAACACAACATGGCCTTGGGCAGCCAGTCCCTTCTTACAGCTCCTGCCCTCGTTTTATTAAACACCTCTCAGGTTCTCTAAAAATTAGACCCATCCATCACTGCACAGCCGTTAACTCATCCCAGAGAACAATCTATTCTCTATAATAAATGAAGCTTCATTCTGTGGGGAAAAGAGGCAAAAACATTGCACAGGAAAGCTCATCTCAGGTGCATTTCAATTTTGGGGTGCTAAAGTTCCCATGTAGCTATTCCCTATTACCCCACAGTCCATCCTCCCCTTGCAAAAAGGAAAAAGGCAGGCAAAGAGATAAATACCACCCTATGGGAACATACTGAAACGCAGAATTCATCTCTGCTACCTATGGGTATTTCATGGCTGCATAAATCACAAGAAGCACTTACTTTGCTCTTCTTGCTGCTGGACATTTTATTCCTGAGGTAGCTGAAGGTGCGACTGACTTTGGTTGCACCTTTACCAGCGGGGACACTGCTGCTCTCCTCAGATATGCTAAAATCAAAGAAGAAAGAGGTTGCTTTTATTTTTCTTTTCATCCCAAAGCATTTGTTCAATGGATGGATTCTTTTTTAAAGGACAAATGCATTTATTATCCAACAAAGTGACAGGTTGCTTTATGGTTGTTTCATGCTTCTTTTTACCAAAGAAGGCAAAGTGAAGACAAAATGCCAGTCCAGTAGCTTGTCATGCATTTCAAGGAATCTTTTTACTTGCTCTTTTTAAGCTATCTCCGTTCTCAAACCATGCCACAGCACCCTCTGCTGCTCCTGCGGTCAAATAACCACTAATCAGCTCAGCATCGGCCTGTTAATGGCAAATACTGCAGGTATAGAGCGAGTCTTTGCATTTAATCTTCAGTATTTTAGACATAAAGGGACAGATGTGCACACATCCTTTAAAAAGAGAAATCCCCTTCTAGAGGACGACATGTATTAAGCCCTGAAGAGGCAGTGAGTGTCTTTACTAGAAACCACACTGCAAAGCCTCCCTTGAGGAATGAGAACACCAATACCAAGTAATAAACAGTCATTTGTATCAAATGAGGCATTTCTGGGAAGCCAGATATTTGCTGCCAGTCTCTACATGCACAAACTTATGACTTCATCTTCTATAAAAGAATAAGAAGTTATGGAGGAAACTCATTTCATTAAAGGACACAGTCTGTCAATAGGAAGTACAATGCAAACCAAAAGCAGAACAACAGAAAGACAAATGAAATCAAGGAGGAGAAAACAGCAGTGAGCAGAAGCAAAGAGCCTCCTAGCCACAAAAGGAAGCCAAAGCTATCAGAGTGACACAGAGACCAGACACCCAGCTCCTTCCGTGCCACAAATGTCCTTCCCCCAGGGAAGCGCTTTTAAAGCTGGCACCCAGCAGAAAGACTATCTCTTCTCTACAGCTTGCAACGATGAAAAGTAACAGACAAAACCGTGATCTTTTTGGCTTTCATTATAGAAATATAAATGGAATTGACTAAAGGGAGGAACAACTACTTTTAGTGTAAAATATGACTCAGGGTAAACTGATACTGTTTGATAACAGATAATCTGCTGCTACTAGCTACGAATAAACAAACACAGAGCCTTGTTAGATCTACAACAGACTTTTATATTCTATGATCTATAATATTCTTAAGCCTTTAAACACACAGGACTGATTTTCACGAGCCTGACAACTTGTGTTTTCAGCTGAAGTGCACTGGTGCCAGGAAGGACTTTGGGTGTCTGAAGCAGAGCCCACTGCAGGAGTCCCACCAACAGAGACGTGGTACCCCCAGAATACTGTACCTCTGAACCGAGGAAGCTGTGGGGCCGCCGAATGCCTGCGTACCTGGAAAAGATCGGAGGGGCAGGGGGGAGGACATGTTAGACTGCAGTCTTAGCCCACTGAGTTTAAAAACAGAGTCTGTGTATTTGGATGGTTCAAGAGGAAGAGGAAATGTTTTCCAGAAGTGAGTGTTTAGAATAGATTTCATGTGCTCAGGATAAAGCCCGGTTCCCCGTATCCTTAGGTGCTCTCCAATTAGGTGCTGAGGTGAAAGCAGGCTTAGTATTTTTACCATTCTTTAGCTATTAAGCAAAGGATGGGCATCTGTTAAATGTGCTGGTAAATCAGGGTATGTGAATCAGAACTGCCGATTCAATGACAATAGGTATAAATGAGAATCATTCTGCCACAATGCTTTAATTTATACACCACTAGAAAGAATCTACTGTAAAACACATCCAGGTTTCATGTATAAAACTTTTATACTTGATAAAATTATAGTACATTTTCCCATCAAAATCCTGAAGCACTTCATAAAGAGTAAGGGAAACAAGGGAAGCCTTATTCCATTTTCCATGAAACATTACCAGCCTAAGGCTTAGTCACAAAACACTGTGCTTGAGGAAAGTCTGACTTTTGACATGAAGCTGAAGCCCTGCCAACGACACAAGTTCTCTTTATACACAATAAACCTGCTTGCACAATGCATTTGGAGCAGATTAGGTAGCTGACACCATTTACCAGAACCATCAAAGAGTACTGAAAAATCAGGATGAACTGAAGCAAGGGCACTCTCCAGATTAACTGGGCTTGTCGGGACTCCAGAATACCCTCACTGCAAGCCCTGTTTGCAGCCCTATCTGAAGTTCAAGAAGCAGAATGATTGATGATCTTATTAGCCTTTATAAGCAAAGCAATACTTTGGCTTCAAATTCTGCTAACATATTCAAGCTAAGGGTGAGTGCAAAAGGGCCACGTGACATCAGAAGCAGTGAGGGTCCTCTATCCAAAAGCCATAAGTGCATTAGGAAAAGCTGTGCATACAATATTATGCCTTTTGATTCTGAAATACATATTTTGCTAACCGCTGATTCAAGTGTTAACACAGCCTGGGACAGAAATACCGTTTCTTCGCACTGAGAAACTAAAATACAAGCATACCCCATTACCTAATCCTTGCTTGGGGATCTCTGTTAGTATCTCCCTTGCAAAATCTGTCATCTACTTAATGATCTATCCCAAATACATCAAAGTTAGCAATACTGTAACATTCATCAAATGAAGCCTACTACTTGCTTTCCTGACTGTGCTGGGGGTTTTTATAGAACATCCACTACCAAAGCGCCTTCTAAGATCACACAAGCAATACACAGACTTCCAAATCCCTGGTTAATACTCCAGTGACTCTGGTTCACATTCCAGTTCTAGTTTGCTTTTAACATGCAAGCTTCCTTAGTCTTCCCTTTTTTTAATAGATTCATCAATTTGACTGGATCTCAGTATTTCACACACCATTCTGTGTCTTTGCAGTCAGTGTAAGAAATATGAACGCTGAATCAAGAGCTGTAATAACTTGATATTTGTGACTTTTTCAGCACCTTAACAAAGTACATGGCATGTGAACTTCAATTATGCACTACTTATCCTTCACTGCAATAATGTTATATCTTTAAAATGGGGGATTCTTGATTCAGGCAAAATGGATTCAGACAAAAAACAAGGCGAAAGCCTGTTTATGATTTCATGTTTCAGGTTACAGTATAACATCATATGATCAACACTCTGCTGCAAGCCATAAACCCCATGAAGATAAGCATAGGAAACCAGACATTTTTCTCTCCTTCAGGTTTTTTTACAGAAGAGGGGAAGGAAGATTTATTTCCAATTTTTGTATTTACTATCATGACCAGGTTCAAACCGAAAATACTGAAACTGACTTCACAACCCACACAAATAGTTTTGTTCAAAGGACAGGACTGCTTTCTGTGTGCAATGAGTATGGGCTTGCAGCCAAATATTCACGTAATTATCTGAGCACATCACAGAATCCCAAGGGTTGGAAGGGACTTCAAGAGATCATCTGGTCCAACCTCCCTGCAAGAGCAGGGTAACCTAGAGTACATCACACAGGAACTTGTCCAGGCGGGCCTTGAATATCTCCAATGTGGGAGACTCCACAACCCCCCTGGGCAACCTGTTCCAGTGCTCTGTCACTCTCACAGTAAAGAAGTTCTTCCTGATGTTAACGTGGAACCTTCTATGCTCCAGTTTACACCCATTGCCCCTTGTCCTATCACTGGATATCACTGAAAAAAGCCTAGCTCCATCATCCTGACACCCACCCATTACATATTTGTAAACACTGATGAGGTCACCCCTCAGTCTCCTCTTCTCCAAGCTGAAGAGACCCAGCTCCTTCAGCCTCTCCTCATAAGGGAGGTGTTCCACTCCCCTAATCATCTTTGTGGCTCTACACTGGACTCTTTCAAGCAGTTCCCTGTCCTTCTTGAACTGAGGGGCCCAGAACTGGATGCATTTTAAGCATCACCCACCAAAATTATTTTATATGGTAGCTGGACTTGAAATAATTCATCAAGTTCCATTATGCAGAAAACAGCAACTGGATTAGGGTGCTGCAGACCAAAGAAACCAGCTCACAACCCCTTAATGCTGACAGCAATTAAACGTTTGTGGGTCAAGAAATTCAAAGGCTTCACAATAGTTTCCTAAATGCACAGACTAGCTTGCTCAGCCCCCTGACATCTACAGCTTAAATATACCATGAGATCGAAGAAACTCACATGGAGAGGTTGAGGAGCGGAAACTGAAATCCAAGTGCAGTCCCAATGCTAATACACACATCCACCCTCTCATGAGAAATGAACCCAGAACATGTGAAAAAATAAACAAACTGGTCTGGGATTACTACAGGAAAAATGCCCATTGCCAAAGCAGTCTTATGAATAGCTGTGGCTAAACCAACCTTTTTATAAAGTCACCACAGTACCCTCAAATATGAGGGAATAAAACACGTACAAAGAAAGCAGCATTTTTGTTTGAGACAATATCTGACATTATTTTAAATGCTCATTGTTAACAGCGGCACTGGTTGAGGGAAAGAAGATAAATACTGGCCAACAGAAACACCCCCAAAACTTCTATACCCTGGCCTGACTGGTAGGAATTATTCAACTGGTTGATACTTAAACCAAACAAAAATAAATTCGACCCCAAAAACCCAAACCCCCTCCAAAACAAGCAAAAACCCATGAAGAAAAGCAAATCCACCAAAAAGTTTAGCCAAGAGTACTTTGAACCGTGGGAGCAGGGCACCAATGCACAGCTGTGTGTTTGCAATTCACTTCGTGAGGACCATGAATTGAGTGCTTTGTTGAAAACAGAAGGACAGAGCAAAGGGGAAAGGAGGGAGAAGCTGAAATATGGAAATGGGTAGTATCACACCTGGGAAGAGCACAGGACTTTCTTGTAGAAAGGGACAAAGAGTGAAGACTGGGAATGGAAAGGAGGAGAATTTAGATATCTATGGAGTACAGGTATCTAACTGGATGGAGTGTAAAATTCTTAAATTCAGGAAGCAACCAAGATCTGTTGGACTGGAAAGCAATTTCCCCCATCCCAGTATGGGCAGGAGGGATGTGGGATAGTTTCCTTGCAAACCTTTGATATGAACCAACTAATACAGCTACTCTGAATTTTATTTAGGTAGAGAATTATTTGTTCTGGTTCACTTCAACAGTCTAATAAAACATGCTTAAGAAATGGGAAACTTTTTCTATTATTATTGATAAGACTATTTAAAAAACTCAGAAAGAGGCTAAATTACTTTAATTCAATCTTTTGCATTAGTTGGGCTTCTTTTAGCAATGGAGCTTACAGGAGGAAAAAAAACCCCACTGTATAACACTTGCCCGTTTCCCAACAAAACTACTATAATATCAGGACATAGACATGAGCACCTCAATGATACAAGGTGCTGAGCTGCAATGTGTGCTTCTGCTCAGGAGTGGAAGCTGCAACCAAGATTTACACAATTTAGTATCAGGTCTTCTCTCCTCTTCTGATTCCACTGAGCACTGTACTCATTCTTACCGATGGAGGGGCAAGGATCTACCTCTTCTGTTAACTCCATGTAGTTCAACAATCTCAAGACAAGTATTTTGGTCTTAATAAAAAGATAATGACTATATTGCTGGTCAGAGTGGCAAACAATGGTATCTGCCACGTGGATACAGACCAAAACTAACCAGATGAGATGTGGTGGTGCTGATGCACAAGACTTTGGATTATAATCCTTTTATTCTGCTGTTAGTTAGTATTCAGATACAGGACTAAGATAATGCTGTTATTAGACATCATGCAGTGAAGAGGTTCATTCAAAGTTTGCAACGTGAAACTTGAAGGCCTCAAGCAGGAAACCAGATTTCCCTTTGTTTCAACCCATAATGGCTGCAATGCACAGAAAACAATTACTTACTATCCACCTCCTCCTCCTCATCACTGGAAGAAGAGCCAATAGAAAAGAGAGTTTTAGACTTAGGAATGAGTGGAGAGATGCTGAAGGAGAAGGAAATTCGTCTCGATGGTCGAGTCCGGCCCTGGGCTGAGAAGTGGGTTAACAGCAGACATTAGAGCATGCTTGAAAATGCATTTAATAACATAAAGGAGAGGAGAGCGGCCAAAGCAAACTAAGACCAAAGCAAAGGAAATGTCTGCAAAGCAGCTGGCTTTAGAAAAGGCACAAGAAACAAAGAACTGAGAACGTGCAAATTCCAGAGGATGCAGGTTTCAGAGGATGCAGGTCTCACTGCATGCGTGACTCCAGGTTCAAGCTTTCCTTATTTTTGCTGGCATCTTTTTATAGGACCTTTTAATGAAGATTTGAATTTGAACAGTTATTTTCCCAAACAGAATACCAACAACATAGTGGATCTCTGGACAAAGGGCATCTGCTTCACTGAAATAACTGCCAGGGAATTGAACTAGAACAACTCAAGGTTGCTGGGTACCCATCACTCACATGGTACATCAGTGTGTCCTCGGGAAAGATGAATGGGACAGGGCTGGGGAAACTCTGCCCCAGGGACACGTCAGACCTAAGGGTTCTACATTAAGCAACTACATCAAACATCTTCAGTGCATGTATTCAGGCACTTTTAAATCATTCCATGGCATGGATAAATCAATTCACTTTCACAACAGGGTAAAGAGGCTAAAGACCTTATCAGCATTAAAATTACAGGAGAAGAAAGTAGAAATGATTACTCTCTTTGAGCAAAACATGCTCTTTTGGTCACATATAAAGACAATTTTTTGTATTGCTGGTATCATAACCCCAAACTGAATTCAGAATATGATCTAAAAACACTATTCAAGGATATTGAATGCAATGCAAGCAATGCAAAGCAAACTCCCCTGAAATTTTCCTTCAGCCATAAGTCACAAATGCCAAGAGGCGATTTGACTAAAATTATATGCACACTTTTCCAATGTAAGCAGAACAACCCTAAAGGGACCCAATGAAAGGCACTGAAATTGAACAATTCAAAGCAAGACCCGTGCATTAGTTTTGTTTAGACTGCCTTTCAAAGGAGTAGTTTCAGTGTCCCAGACCTGAAGCACATGACCAGGCAACACTGCTTTCTTTCTTCTGTAGTCTACTGTCTATTTAGACAAAAAGTCAAGATGAACAATAATACTTTACTGTAAATAGAACCACCTCCTCCAGCACAGTTCAACTCAACTTCCATTTCAGTGGTTTTATTTATAGCAGTTCCTGGCTTCACAACAATGCTCCACACTGGAAATTTGCTATTCCAAAGCCGAAAGCAGTCTTCCGAGCACTCCAGCCAACAGCTCTTGTGACCTCTCTCTATAAAATGCTGAAGGATTAACAGTTGTGAATGGCCACAGCAGCTCTTGGAACATCTGAGACATCAGATGGAGCGCAGGCTACAAGCTTGGTCTTGGAAGTAGCTCCTGCCTCAGTTCACATGACAATAAACAGGGAAAACAAGAGAAAGCCCTCCATGTGTTTGTTAATTTGGATTTAGTTTTTGAAGCTTTGTGCAGAACATGCTGCTTTCTTCCCATTCAGACCCATTTGGTTTTGAACACCTACCACAAAATTATGCAAGCTTTCCTAGAATTCACCTCCATGAAATCAAGGATTTATCCTTGCATATCTCTCAATTATTCTGTTGTGATACCAGTGCCAAACCTAAATGATACAAGGGAATCTATACAAAACCTTCTTGTAAAAGGCACTAAGCTGCTTCACATGTATTATGGTCACATCTCAAGTAACTTTACTCCTCTTTGAAAGCAACTGAGGAAGAATCAAGTGATTTACTTATGTTTCCAAATTCAGGAAAGTGCCAGAGCTAGGAGGAGAGTCTATGACCTGTGAAAAGAATCTCAGGGTTGGGAAGAGCAATCTTTTTGATTGCTCATATCAACTGCCTGAAATTCACTACTTTTCAGAAACATCATGCCTATAAAACTGAGGCCCTTCTGCAGAGTCACAAATTAGCAACCGAGAAAATAAAGCTCACAGAAGCATTAGTAACTTTCAACTTCAGTGTCCAAAACTCAGAGATTTCCCTGCCAAAGCAACAGACTAAACCTGGTGTTTCTTTCACAGCCCCTCTGGAATCTTACTGCATCTTTTCCTTCTCTCTCTTCATGACTGTCGTGGTTAGGCCATCTCTAGAATATGGGCTCATCAAACCTGTCTACCACCAGCTCAGGCCTCGTTGGCATTTTAACATGAGTCAAACAAGAGAGAAGTGGAAAGATGGGAGCTTGTCCAATTCCAAGAGGGAGCTACAAATCCTCCCCTGTCATAAGCCCTGCCACAGGCCTGAAGGGAAATCTCAAGGGAGAGGGAGATGAACCTCAGCTGACCAAGCTCTCTCAGCCACCAACAGCCCATGTGCTGGGAGATAGCCAAGTTATTCATAGTGTTTGGTTACCAATGGCAATAAATTGGTTGCTTAATAGAAGTAATAATGAACGTCTTCAGCTCAGTGAGCAAAGCCACTGCGCAGAGCAGGAGCTGGCCTTTCCATGGGACAGATCTGCCTGTGCTTTGGTTACCGTTGCTGAGGAGCACATCCGTTAGGCCACATGCTTATTAATCACAGAAGAACGATGGCAAAGGATGTTAAAACATCTCCTACAAAGCATAACCTCTGTGAGCTTCCTCCTGAATGAATAAAATGCCCTTCTTAATAACGCCTTTCCCTTGTTCAGCTTTGCAAGGAAGAAGTATGTTAATAAAAAGGAAAAGATCAGAGACCATCACTGATTGACAAGAGCAATCTAAAATGCCAATACCGTTTATGGCTGGCAATTAACATAATGAAAGCATGTGTAACATGGCCCTTCTAAGCACATCCAGCTGCAGCCTTCTGAATGACTTTTTCAGCTGCAAGAATCCATTCAGTGATGCTGCTGAATTCACTGCAATAAGTGAATTCTTGTTATTGCCTCAATTAAGCTAAACTGAAAAATTTCACCTCATCACCATTTATTACTTTCTTCAGGAATGACATTTGATAAATTACATCCAACTGCCCCCAAACATTTAATTCAATATAAATAGCAACAAAATCCCCCAAGGAGAACAAGGATTCACACGTTTCCATGTTAGCAATATTCAGAAGAATCTAAACTGAGTGAGTTCTGCCTTTCCACCCACAATTCCATGCAGCACTGAAACATTCCACATAATATAGGAAAGCAAGAGCAGGTACTAGCAAATTCTGCCTTGGGTAGGTAGCAAGAGACACTTAATAATACAGATGAGAGAACAGATAAGGAAAAACTGTGTTACTCACTGTCCAGCACTGGTTTACTAATTGACATTAGAGACATAGATTTGGTCAGTGGAGATGAAACAGCAGAAGAGCAGAAATTAAATCCTTGTGGCGGTGATGTTTGATGCATCTGCAGAACAGAAAATAACCATAACTGAGCAAATACGTGAAGAACATCAGCACCGTCCCAGCTTCAGATCAGTGCTCACATTTACTGAAATTCTCACTTTCAAACAGGGGAAAATGCCAGTGATCCTATTTAATAGGTGAGAAATGCAAGGACCATGAAAAATATAAGCAATGTCACACAGGTAAAATGCAACATTTTAAGTGTAAGGTAACTATTCGTGCAAGAAATGGTGAGCCTCTGGTTGCTTGATCTTCTTGTAAGGTGTTACAAGAGGGATACTGTTAACTGCCCAATGGCCGCTAGAATTCCTGCAGTGATTCCAGTTCCTCAGTATGAGTGGACTGTGGTAAAAAATCTGATGCTTAGCTGTGTGTTCTCCAAAAAAGCCATTCCTCAAAGCAAAAGAAGACATGAGAGTCATGACATAACAGCTCTACAGGCCAGATCTTGTAGGACCTGTTTACTTGCCTTGGTGTATAGCAGAGATTTTGTGAGGTAAGCAGACTGGCTGGCTAATGATTCTGGCATTAGCCCAGGAAATACTATGGCTGAAACTTCAAACTTAGAAATCTGGGGTATTTATAGTATTTAAGACTGTAATTGTTTCATTAATACAAAAAGCAGAGATTCTTATAGTATTGTGGCACAATCAATAGCTACCACAGACTTCCCACTCCAGAAAGATCACTCTTAATATTCTTAATATGCAATTAAAATTTTGCTTAACTGTTGCTTATTCTAATGGGCCTTTTCTTTTGGTTATGACTCTGAAAGGAAAAAAAAATATCTTTATTTTCCTCCTACACTATGAAAATAAACCTGAAAACTTCAGCAGACAAATTACTACTTGGTACTTCGTGTGTATTTCAGGACTGCAAAAGGGAGTGTAAGCACTAATTGCTGTAGCCTTACAACACCTCTGATTGATGGTATCCCTACATCCATACTAAAATGTTCATAACTTTTCCACGATTATTCATGCAATCAGTGGAAGAAAACCCAAAGACTTTGCCCATCAACCATGTTGCTGCAGAGAATCAAGCAGCAGATTTAACACAGTGGAAATTCTTCCATGTTAGAGATGGAAGATTTTAGTATTATATATACAGGTTGGGAGCCTTCACTTGGGAACACTTGAGGTTGTTTTATCTCTATATCCAGCAATAGCTGGACAGCCTCACCTGGTGATCGTACTCTCTCATTTCTCCTTGCTCGAGTTCTTCAGTGAGCAAGACCAGGGACCCACACTGGTTGCTGGCAAGCGGACTCCGTCTGAGGTCTTTGGAGCTCAGAGAAGCTGCCTCCAGGTTTGCAGAGGGCTTCTTGTTCTCACCAGAGTCTCCAGCAAGGCCTTCTAGGCTGTAACTGAAGAGAAAGCATCGTGGTTAGATGCTGACATACTCTTAGATACCAGTGTCTTTCAGCACACAGCACCTTCATGTATAGAACAAAAGGCAGTCACTAACTGAACTGTGCAGGGAAATACTCATTTTATTCCTCAGCATGTTACTTTTTTAATGACCAAGTGCAGACAGCAGTGGAGGGGTTCCTGTTTTTCAGACCAAATAGCAACACCTTTGCACCACTAATAAGACACAATAGTTGCTTGAACAACTGTTCATACTCCTGGTCAACAGCCCTTCCTACTGTTATTTTCACTTTCTGGAGTGAAGCACAGGAAAATCTAGAAACACCTGAAGATTTCTGTAGTTCCACATATTCTCTTTACTAGCTTTTACTAGGCTCTCCCTTGGAATAAAGTCACTCAAATTAAACTACCTTGTATTAGCATGGTGCTGCCTGTGCTGGACCAACACCCAACGTTCACCTCTGCAGACACATCCTCTGAATCTGTTTAGTGCTTGCCGCTGCACAAAGCTTTGGCACTGATAACATCCTTCTTTCTGCCAAAGCTGGTTTCTTTCTGCTGATAGACAAGCAATCTCTACAGAAAGAGGTTAATATATTCTCTTCTCACCCACACAAAACACCCCCTCTTTCGCATGTGACTATTTCAATTTGATGTATCTTGTTGACATTATCTTCGCTTCTACCCCTCCTGGCTCCTTATCCCCAAGCACTAATAAGCTGACTGCAATGCCAGTTTGGGTTAAAGAGCAAGTGTCACACATACGCCTCCTGGTACACTAGTACAGCTCCATGGCTAATGCTCGATTTGATGCTCTCAAAGTCCTGCTCCTTTGAAGCAAGACCTATCCTGGATATATATCTCAACCTGAGGCTAACCATGACATCTCAGTGGCCAACAACCTGGCATTTAAACAAATGAAAGGGAAAAACCACTATAAACTGTACAGATTATTTAAACAACCAAAAGAGCTTTAACTTCAGGTAGGTTTGCATAGTGGTGATTAATGTTCTGTATTCCTTTAGAAGCATTAAGTGGCTGATCATCAATGCAAAAATTGCAGTAAACCTTGAATAAAAAGATTTAGTAATTTTTTTCATGGTAATTAGAGAGAAAGAAAACTAGTTGAGGCATTTACAATTTAATCTTCTTTAGTAAAGCAAAGAAGATTTTGACTCAACAATGTATATCAATAGCAGGCATTATAAAGTTTATTCTAAAACACCCGCAAAGAGAAGTCTGCCTTATTTCTACTCGTTATTTATGGCAGCAGAGTATCATTTTCCTTGCAACCCAAGATGTTAAAAGCAAAGTTACACAGTACAGAAAAAAACATCATGTAGTTTGTTGTGACACAAACAGCTCAAAACTGCACATATCAGCCATTAAAATAGTTGCCAGTGGGTGATACTGATCTGTAACTTGTACATACAGACCAAACATAATTAAATATGTGACAGGGACAGATTAATTTCTTAATATCTAGTCTTCAGAAAGAGACTTTAATAATAGCTCTACCCACAACCAGCAAGAATTGCCAGAGGAAAGCTACAAAGGTATGAAATCTGGGACGCTGGCTTCCAGGCAGCATCAGGTGGAGATCTGACTTGCAAGCACCAATCTCAGCTCAGGGACTTTCTACAGAAAGTTAAAGCTCTAAGTGCCTGAGAAATTGTCACCTGTGGCTGTGGGATTGGGTTTTCACAGCAAGATTTACATGGTGAGTCTCTTTGAAGAAAAAACTAGATCTTTCAATTTACAAAGAGCAAGTCTGTATGAACTCAAATCCTTTATGAGAGCCATCCAGAACAAAGCGGCACTGAATCACATTAACTCTTGTTTTGATTCTTTGGCTGTCACCATTATCATTATGATCACTGCTGTGGAAAAAACACGCCTTAAAATCATCATGGAATAGAGCAGCTCAAACCAACAATGCAGCTTCTTTAATGCTCGAGGCCAACAAAAAGCAGCCACCACCTTCACCTGCACCCCAGTTCCAAAGACCCAATCCCAGGTCCAAGTGCCGGAAAAGCACACGAAGCAAACAAACACGTGCACGCTTCAGCCAGAGCAGCAGTGGAAAAGGCGACGCACGAAAAGCTGATGACAGGGAGTTTGCAGTGCTCCTTTGCTGCTGCTGCACATTGATTTATACTGTACCTTCTACAAGTAAAGTCAGGACCCATGGCAATGAACTGTACGCCAGAGGGACACCAGCTCAAACTAGGAACATCAAAAGAGGCAAAGAAAGGAAAAGGGCTGTGATTATTGAATTGTTATGGAATAGGGGAATGTTAAAAAACTCTCACTCTTGCATATCTTAAAAAAACCCAAACTCATAAATAATGAAGAAACTACGACATATTTCTGTCTGCCATAACACACCAGTGTGCCCCAAGTGACCAAGGTTATAACCAAATGGGTAGCAGGCCAGCCCATGCTTTCCCCAAGCTGACCCCCTTAGTGAGTATACAATCTACCAGAGAAACTGCTCCTTGTGGGGAGAGACGTTTGGGGGGAAAACAAGGCTGAAATGCACCCAAACCAATTTTGCATAAGTAATAGCATGCATCCGTTGTGTTAGTAATGATTAGCATTCTTCTGGGACCTGTCATCCCCAGATCAGAGAAGGAATCCCTTAGACAGATTTAATCAAGTCCCCTCTGTGCAAGTATTAATAACCTGAGGCTACACTAGGGAAAAATAAGGAGAGAGCTACATTCTTAAGTGCTACACAGCAAATATGTGAAAGAAGAAAAAAACAACAGGCTTGTCTTCCTGCTAGCTTGGGATTAAATCAAGTCCTCAAATAGTACTTTGACTAGAAAACCTTTCAGCACCCATACCCCAAAGAAACCCAAGTTGCATCTTAAAAGATACCAGAAATGTAAATGTAGGATGCAAATATTTTGGTGGTTAATTTAAGTACTGCTTTTGTTATTTTTTTTCCCTTTGCCAGTTTGTGGCCCAATTGCAGGTTTTGCAGACGTGGAGAAATCAATCTTCTTGTCAGCTATTACATATAAAGGAACCCTAAATCCTGGAAAAGCTGTCCAGGAAACTTATGCTGTCTGAAGGGAATTTTGCATCAGCACATATCTACCAGAGCAGCACTGCACAAGTCCTGCTCCCAGCTCCTGGCCTGCAATCCACATGGGCAGAAGCCTATGAAAAGGGAAGAACAAGTATAAGCACCCCTGGGCCACAACTTGTGAATGCCCGAAGCCTCAGAGGGCACACAGGAAGGTTTAAAGCCACTGAGCATCACCTTGTACAGTTTCCACTCAAAGTCCAACACTGGAAACATTCAGGAAGGGTTTGACAGTTTGTTTTCAACAGTGGGATTCAGGTAATTGCTGCCTGCTTTGTTAAGGATGTTAACTGGGTGAGGATGCACCTGAAGTACCTGTGCTTTGCACCCCAAAGCTACAGGTGTGCTGCACCAGTAGCTCTCAGCACAGTACCACAAGCCTTCTTGATGAAGACATACCTTCCCATGACATGCCAATATTTCCAAGTACTTCACCCTCGTCATCCAACTAAACCATCAATCAGGGCATGCAAAAAACCCCTTTACAGGAGACCACCTATGGAAGGGGGGATGAGCTATTACATACATCAGCTTTGTGGGAGAGCATAAACTGTTGGAACTACTTTCAGGCTGTTGCTCTGCAACTGGGGTTTAAAGAGGATTATACCAAAACAGTTGGGAGGCCAGAAAAAACAGAGAGGATGCTATGAAAGAATTACCCCACATTTCAGGTATCATGTACTTCAGGTTGCCTGTGTAAGACTGTAAGCTCAGTGTTTCAAGATATGACGACTCTGAGTACTAACACAGCTCCTATAGGGGAGCCTGAAAAGACAACGGGTAAAAAGATGTAGAACTGCATGAGGTGAGGAGTACTTCCTCCAGAGCACAGAGTGATGCAAATAAAGTGGCTTCATAGAAGTAAAAAAGGATGCTATTTCTTGTGCTTTTTTTTTAAACAGTCTTTTTTTAAGAGCCCTTTCCTGAACTGTACAGCACTGCTCATATGGCTTCATTTATGCTGATGCATGGTTAAGACCCAGTGATTTCTTTGGTAATAACATAATGGCAACAACTTTTCCGTATGTGGAAATATGGTAGTTTGTTTGTAGACACACATAACCCCATCCGTTTCATGAGAAGTGAAATCCTGAGTTAACATGCTCCAGGAGCAGAGGTAGAAGATGGGGGAGATGAGAAGAGGTTGAACCACTGAAGGGAAGAGGTTAAACTTCTCTTTTTTTTAGCCTAAAAATGTGTAAGTGTGGATGGCCCATGTGTCTGCTATGTCAAAATTAAATGTCCTTTTGTATATGTTAATAGACACCACAAAGGTTATGTGAGTGAAACTTCATATCTGTGTGATGGACGAGAAACTGAAAGTGTGCTATGCAGAAGAAAAACACAAATGGAAGTAAATGTGAAAGATGGTTACAAAAAAAACACCATAAACTCCCCAAACCCAGCAAAAGAGCAAAATTAAAGCCATTTAATTCAAGCAGCTTCAGATCTGCAGCACATTCTCTGACTCTGAGATTGTGCCTGATGCATCCCCTCCCAGGGGAACCCTCCCGCAAGTCTTGGCAGGAGTCTCCGATGTGCTTTAAATCTGTACCCCCAGGTAATATTTGTAAGTAAATGATTCTTTTAACACAGCTTCAGATCGTACACATGGCAAAGGCCAACAAAATGGTGTCTAAGATTTCTCCACATTATTAACATAACGTATCCTGGGGAAAATGGCTTGAGCATTTGCTCAGTGTGTTAGAAAAGCTGCCCTGGGTCAGACTGGAGAGGGAAAGCAACCAAGCGGGATGCACAGCTCCAACGCCAACGCTTCCAGGGGTACTACTACAGGTTTACTAACCAGGCAGTATGGAGTTAGTAGACATTCGTACATAAAACAGTTAGTCACGTTAATTGGCTTTGTACCTTCTCCTATGAATGGGAGGCTTCTTTATACCATCCCCCAGAACTCGCATTGAACTGAAAATGAATCATGGAGAGTGGTCAGCAGCTTGAATGGAAAAAAATGAACACACGGCAGCTGAAGGAATAGTATCTCCAACACATGAACAGCAGAGGGAACGGATGCACAGGGAAAACAAAATCAGATACTAAAGGGAATAATGAGTTTTTTCTTCCTCTCTCTTTTACAAATAAATCTAGGGTTTGGTTGGGGTTTTTTGTACAGAAAGGAGGTTTCACAGGTATCGACCCCATCACAACTTAACTGCTGCCAAAGGCAGGTCGGTTTAAAGTTGAGATAAGGAAAAGTATTTGACGGAAGCTGCTCACAACCACACTTAATACTAGCTCCAGTTCTGCAGAGCATCAGTGAAAAATGCCAGCACCTCTTTCCTCGGAACCAACCATAAAACCACTGCATCATGGTTGAAAGACAGGCATTGCAAATCCACTGTGAACGTCAAGAATTAACTGAAGGATGAACATCCTTTTGTGGCAGTCCTGTTAGGTTCTTTGTATCTTCAATAGCAAAATGCAGACACGAGGATTATCTGCGAAATGCATTTGAAGAGAAGGGGGAAGCGAAGGGGAACTGAGCGTGTTTTGACATTTCAAGATGATTACTTTTTTTCTGATCTTTTCTGTGAACATTTATGCTCATCCCTCTTACAAACATAAAACACACAACAATGGAAAAGACCAAATCCTACAAAAGACTTATTTTCTTTTTCCATAGGTTGAGTCCTGTATCAGCAGCTCTATTTAAGCTTGACGTAGCTGCCTTTGCCATATGGGAAAGACTATCACTGGTGCGGATGGGGTCTCAACCAAGTCTTCGCTAGGGCAGGAGGCACCTCTAAGAGCTGCCACCCCATTCCTCTTCCTGGCTGTGCAGCCCAGTTCTAATCCCTGGGTTGGATTTGGTGGCAATTACACTTTATTTAGTTAATTTTCTACTCATTCAGTGAGTACAACCCGCTCACTTAGGGTGCAAAGAATTTGCCACAGGTGCCCAGAGGATGAGAGGGAGTATGGACAAAAGGTGGCAGGTGGTAGGAGCAGCACAGTCCTGTCCATCAGCAGGACAAATCTTTGCTAAGCCTTGTGCTCTGTGTTACTTCACTTCAAAGGTTTATTAAAGTCAAGTTACAATAATGGGATTTCTCCTTTAAATGGAAAACTATCTACTGCCTGTGAAATAAATGAATAAGCAAACACCCCGAATCTAACTGATTTGTATGAAAGCCACTTGTTTGGGCTTCAGTTCCTCAGTATTTGTTGCTGGTTGCTAAGCAACCAGAATCATATCACAACAGCCACGTAGGAAAGGAACAAACTCACCCCCCCCACACACCAATCCAAATTCTTTTGTAACAGAAACAGAACCAAACAGGAACCAAATCAGCACCAGAGACCCACCCAGCTTTTCGTTTTGAATTAACCTGTGACAGCCATCCTTATGTAGCAGCAGCTGCATCTAAGACCATATGAGAACAATTACTCTTCCTTTAACTCCAATTTTCTTACATTTACAATGAATGTATCTTCCCATATTGGAACAGCCTCCAAAGTCTGACACAGGATAGTTTAACCCAGCTGTTAACTGTTAGCAGCAATTGCCAGCTATGCAGTTTATTACCCTCAGAAATCTGTACAAAACAGGTCCCATACTTAAATCTCTCCAAATGAGTTTATGAGCTTACAGACTCATCCTATCTCAAACCCGTATGTATACCTTCTGCTGACTCTTTTGTAGCTTTAAAAAGAGAGGTAGTACTTTATGTGTTTAAATATTAACTGGGGACTAGGAATGAAGCCAAGAAAAGATGGCAGTGATAAACAACAATAATAATAGTGATAATAAATCTTTCACCCTATGTTACTTAGAAGGTGTTGAATATTTCTCCCCATTGGCTTTAAAATCTGAAGGGTCTATGATATTCCTTTAGTGATACCCACAGCTCCTAACATGTGAAGGATGCACATGTCTGATGGGAGGCTACTGCCTCGCACAGGATTTTCCAAATGGGTCAGTAACAATTTAGTAGGAACCCGTTGCAAATGGCCAGTTTTAACTCAATAGCATCACCAAATGCAATAGCTCCGTTTATCTTAGAAGCAGAGCCATGGCTATAAAGACAGCAGCAGGCAGCCTGGAGAGCGGCACTGCGCTGCACACCTCGGCTTGCAGCCCCTCTAAGCTGCAGGTCTACACCAGAGGGGCAGGAGGATGTGGCACCCTGACCCTGCTGAAACAACTGTCCATTCCTGCTCTAAAAGCACTGTAACGCAGTAATAACACTGGCCAAACCCCCACTGGTTTCAGAACATGCAGGGTTTAACCTCAATCATCCATCAGCCCAGATGTTGGTGCAAAGTATGGCAGGGAACCTTACACCAACTGCTTTATTGGTGTGTATCTTCCTCTGCTTCCTCTTTTTCCCTGCTGAGATGGCACCTTTTCTCCCCAGTCACTTTTCCCCACACAGTCAGTGTCACCTACACACATCTTTTGAAAGAACAAATGCAAGAACTTCCCTTCTGAATCTTCCTGAGCACCACTGGGGACATCAGTGATGGGTTAGGTGACACTGTTCAAGAGACTCTAAGGTGGACCAGTTCTGTGAAACAGGGACCACCCATCTCACCACTATGAGAAGCCTCCACACCTCATTTATACAACACTGGTGCCTGTGCTATCTCTTAATACAATCGGAGTAATCAGGGTTGTGTTTATTTTGTGATCAGTGAGATTTAACACTCGAATAATTCCTTTAACAAAGCCCTTCCTAAAGAAAGGGGTAGTGACAGTTCAAATGGAAGACTTGTCCCAGGGTAATTCCACTTTATCTGAAAAGCTCAAGCATACTGTAGGCATTAAGTACTTTAATCCTGAAAGTTAATTTAAAGAAAACATACAAACATAGGTTAGGAGACTGCCTTCACCTCTTTGAGTGATAAAGAAATAATCAGAAGTGACATCCTCAGTTTTCTGTTTCATCATGCTGAGTCTAAAGCTTTGATAAATACCTATGAGTGGGTGCAAAGTAAACCAAAGCAGCCCTTCACTCACCTCCTCTGATTTATTTCTGCTTCATTGGTGGCGTTCTTCCCTGGCCCCCAGCTGTGTCGACGGAAAGGTGACAGTGGCCGCATGGAGTTTCTTAAGACAGAGGAATGAGTGGGCACATCTGTGATACTGTCCAGCTCCTCTTCCTTCTCGCCTCCCTCTGTGGCCACCATGTTAGTGCAGCTGCCATCCAGGCTGTGCCTGTCCTTGGGCTGGAGAAAGTTCCCCATCGGTGGGAAAGGAAGGGATGTGTCGCTGCCCAGGGATGAGTTCCTCTCCAGGGACATGGTGTCATCTGCAGAGGAACTGGAGCTGGTAACATCACAAACAGAGTGCTCCTCCTCAGGCTGCTGTGGAAGAGAAAAAGTAAAGTAGAATCATAGACTGGTTTATGTTGGAAGGGACCTTTCAATGTCATCTAGTCTAATCCTCTTGCCATGGGCCTGGACATCACCCGTTAGATCAGGTTGCTCAAAGCCCTGTCCAACCCAACCTTGAATAGTTCCAGTAAAGTGAACACATTTAACATGTTAAACGAATTAAAACATTTTCTATTGCACATGAGCTATTTCCTAATTGATAGCACAAGGCAAATTAAGCATCACAGAAGTGAGATGTTTTGCTCTAGTTTCAGAACTGGATGAAATGCTCTACAGAGCAATCTTTCAGCCCTCAAGTCCCTGGCTGCCATAACCCTGCACTCCCAGCTTGGATCCTCTGCCTGCCTTTCTCCCCAGTTCCTTATGCCATCCTACACAGCAATTTTTGTGCCTTTCTGTCAATTTCTGGCTAAACCTGTTATTGGTCAAGGCGTTACCAAACCGCCAAAGGTTTATGGAGAGCAAGTAATGGAGAACTGGGTCATCATGACTCCTGATGACAAACTCCAGCCTCTCCTGTGATACCTGGGATGAGTCGGTAGCTCTCAGCCATGAGAGCTCAAAGGCAATGTACTGTTCCACTACATCATGCAGCACAAAAGGGACAATTAATCAGCAGTAGAAAACAGACAGGAAAAAAAACCCTAAAAGCATAAATCTCCGTCCTTCCCTACTTTCCATTAAGCAGGAAGTTAATGCCAGGGTTTGCAGCATTTTTCAATTCAACTGGAATTGAAAAATATTGTTCCAGAGGCCCAGCCATTCTGTATTACATGTCTCAAGTCAAACTGCCATTTTCTGGTTTAGTTTGCTCCAAAAGCTGTAAGTGGAAGCCAAACTGGTTCCCTCTGGCCAAAGGCCATATGCTGACCATACAGCCAGCAAAGAGTCTGTGCGCACTCTGTGTTCCACATGGCTAGCATGAAAAAACACAAGCCCCTCTCTGACATCACCTTCAGTCTGAAATGGTGTTTGCCTCAAGGGACTGACATGGGAAGTTTCAATTTATTCTCCTGCAGAGCCCTGTGCTCCATCATTTAAAATAATAATAGGGAGAATGATCCGTCAGACCACATATAATAGAGTATTCAGCAAAGCCACAGCAGTTAATTGTTTTCAAATAGCAGGCTCAGTGGGTCTCAGCAGAAGCTGAGTGCTCAGGGAGCTGCAGGCTTTCAGTTCTCATTTGGCATAAGATAGTGGGCTACAAAATCCAGTTCTGAAGGGGCAGATGGGCATCCAAACCCACGCAGGGCTGGTTGCACAAGAGTGATGCTGCCCCACGGCATCTTCACCTTGGAACCTGCTGCTATGGCTTCATTCAGGCTCAGTAGTGTTAAATGCTCCAGACAGTTTTGCTTTTCTGTGCCTTTTCTGACGGAAACACATTATAAACTAAAAGGTTTTTTGTTAAACTGAATAAAAAGATGTTCAGAAAGTATTCTAATCTAATATTTCAAATATAAATCCCTGTTTCAAATTTGGATATTTTTTATTCTTATTTCAGTTGAACAGGTACACAATCATGTCCATTAGGTGGTTTAAATAAATGCTGTCACACTATTTCCTTTCTCCCATCCACCAAAGGAAAAAGAAAAGAAAAACCCCAGCATCAACAGCACAGTACCAAAGTATCATCTACCTTTTAAACATAAAATATTAGAACATATCCCTCCAAAAGCACTCATATCATGGTAAGAACGTCAAATATTAATGATCAATTTGTGTAAATACTTTCATAGTGCACTTATACTGTAAAGTATTGGATTTGACACACACTTGAATAGGAAGAGTAGATTAAAACAGGAATGAACTGAAATGGATGCCCTGTAAAATTTCTGATGATGTTTAGTGTTATTCAAGATAATCTGATATTTATGTGAGTCATGATGAGCACTTACTGAATTGCTTAAATCCAGACAGATTAAGTAGTCATTATTTGGATAACAGTAGAGGAAACAGTCTGCTTCACTCTTCTGAGACACAGGAAAATCCTGCTATACATGAGGGCAGCACAGCAGGAGGAGAGAGGACTACCCACCAGCTGTAGAGTGGAAGGATGAGAGAGCTTGGAAACATTAAACTTGGATGCAAATATAGGAACAGCAGTGCAAAACATCAAATTCTATAGGGAGGAATTAGAGAAAAAAGAGGGATTTTTATTTCCTACATGAGAATACGGCTCCAGTTTAAAATGCAGAACAAAACCTGCTTCCCTAGCAGGGAAGATTTAAGGTTTCTATTGCAAAATGCAGTTAAAAGAGATGTAATTAGAAATGTGAAATATGTTTGGTCCATTTTAACTTTTACCTCAAGTACCAGACTGACTGTAGAACACAGTGAACAATTCCCTTGAACTTGTGGCCCATGCTTATTCCTCTAAATATATTCTGTCTTCAGTTAAATGATTTTTCAGGTTTGGGTTTTTTGTTTGAAACAAAGCAAAGCAGTTAATCCTGGTCTTTAATAGCTAAAGCCCAGAACTCTGTCTGCACAATGCCAAGTGTGACTGACACATCTAAGAAACATCTATATTGCAGCCACCTCTGCAAGAAATTAGCTACCTGGCCAAGTGCCAGTAAATACGTGCTGCTCTTTTAATCCTATCCGAGTAAGAAAATACCCTGTTTGCAGAGTGGAAATGGTTCTCTAATGTGTTCTTTTCATACAGGAAGAAAGAAACATTACAGAAATATTTTCTTCAAGTTAGGCTTGCTGCATTGCACTTCAATGAATTCAACCCTTAACTGTGACCAAAAACCTCATGGCTAAAAACCTTTACAGACATGCACTAATGGGCATTTGCTTTGCTCTCAGAAACAATAGTTGGTGAGAAGCTACTAAGAAGAAATGAAATAAGGCATAAAAAGTGCGTTTTCTGAGAAAGAACATTTGTACTTGTTCAAGAATAGGGATAAGTGAAATCACTGGGATGGCGGGGGTATAAGATAACTTCAGCTAAATCCCTCCCTCTGTAGGAGGCCTTGACGAGTGGAATTAAAACGTTCTTTCACTCATTTTCATGATGACAACGCTTGAAGGGCTGAAACACAAACTTCCTCCATCCCATGATCTCCCATGTGACAAAGACGGTACAGTATTTAAAGAAAAGGAGGAAAAAATTAAACACTGAAATCCCCAGGTTTATTTGCCATCCCATTACACTAACGGAGTCAACAAGCTTTGCTTGGGTTGAACGCAGTGACAGGACAAGAGGTAATGGGTTAACACTTAAACAGGGGAAGTTTAGATTGGATATAAGGAGGAAGTTCTTTACTGTTAGGGTGGTGAGGCACTGGAATAGGTTGCCCAAGGAAGCTGTGAATGCTCCATCCCTGGCAGTGTTCAAGGCCAAGATGGACAGAGCCTTGGGTGACATGGTCTCGTGTGAGGCATCCTTGCCCTTAGCAGGGGTTAGAAATGGATGATCTTAAGGTCCTTTCCAACCTAAACCATTCTATGATTCTCTGATACATAATCTAGCAGAGTAATTTTTTAATTCATTTGTCTATGGCTCCAGGCTCCCTAAAATTAACCTCAACAGTGGCCTTCTATTAATTACTTATCAGCATTTTTGTGATCTGGATTGCAAGAGTCTTCCCTCGGTGAAAGGGAAACTCTCTTCAGACTTTTATGCCTTTGGGTCTGGTATTTTTGCATGGATGCGGGGCTTTTGTATTTGGCTTTTTAAAGAGAAACAATAATTCTGAAACAAATAAATGCAAAATATTTATGTCTTTGTGTATTTCCTTGAGCAAACCAAAAAAAAAGCAGAAATCAAACAACATTCAAGGGGTCAAGCTGCGACCCCTTTCTTTGACAACGATCTCTGGGTTCCTGACTTCCCGAGGGCCGTTTGTCTGAATCATTCCCCAAGAGGCACACTGGAAAACTTCCCAGTAACGCTGAATTTCGGTGGCAGGTTAAAAGTTAGGATGAGCAAAGCGTATGGGCTACACCCCAGGATGCTGCCAGATGACTGTGAGAAATGACCTTATGCAGCATTAATCATTCCAGAAGGAGGGTGTTGCAAAGGCTGCCCAGATGGAGAAGGAAAAGCAGGATGATGAGGAAAAAGGGATAAAGCACTGACGCAAGAAAAGAAACCTTTTTGCCGAAGTCTTAGACCTCACATTGGAAGCAATTTCTGTATTCCAGTGACAGTCTCTGAAGCCTGAAAAACCAAGTCAGGTTTTAGTGTGAAATCTCACTGAACCCAGCAGCTCTTGCTATGGAGCTCAGCTCATGTCCTTCAGAGAAAGAAAACAGGACAGACAAGCACAGGAGATGGCAAGGAGACGGTAAGGAGAAGAGAACATGCCTAACACTAGGGACCGTTTAAGGCACCTGCAGATTTTGTGACCCCAACACCCCAAATTCTTCATGGTCCTGGGACAGAGCCAGGACTTAGACTCTCTGAATTTCAAGCAATGCTTATGGAAGCAGCCCAAAGACCCTGGACAAACAATGGCACGTTCCTCCTAATCTATTATGCAGTTAACAGAGAAGTGATTTATATGATAAAAACCAACTTTAATAGATGAAAGGTTCAACTCTTGTTCCATACAAAATGGAAACAAGAACAGGACTAGCAATAACAATAACCAGCATGACACTGAAAAGGTTTGAGATCCTCTTTTTGTTCAAAACCACATTCTCTTCTCTTCCCAATTTGGTATGAAAATTGTACTATTTCACAGGCCTATAACTAACCCACTACAACCCAGATATGCATCTTTTAATATCTTTCAGAAGTAAGCTTACATCCAGCATTTATTTTAGTGGTTATTAAGAATAGTTATAACTTGCATTTCCTTGCAGCTGGGCTCAGTCGTCTAAAACCAAAAGATGAATTAAGGAATGAGCTCACTACACTAAACTAGTGTCTCTGGTCCTTTGAGAACTAACTTTAACTATAGAAAAGGTACTCAGATGAATTCTGAGAAAGGAGACAAGGAACTGGGTTAGTCAGCAAAGCAAGACAAGAAAAAGCAACTGAAGTTGAGATTAGCTTTCAATAACTTCCTAAACTCAACACTAGAACCTCCTGAACCTACTTGGAGCTGAAGTCTGCAATCCCCTGCATAATGAGAACAATGCAAATGCTGCCAAATTAACAAATTCCCTTTCTATAAAGAAAATGATTTCCTCCCTCTGCCCACTCTCCACTGGCAATAGAAGATCTGCTTCCCTCACCACCACCTCCTTTCCCTGCAGTATCCCTACTACATTGCACTATTCTTTTTAACTTGTGATTTTCCTTTTCGCCTTTGGAGAACAAAGCTTTCCCCATAAGAAAGGGAAAAGGTGGAATTCTGTACACTATAAAATGCACTGTGTTCCCACAGCTCTCTTCTCCCACGCATCCCCACAGAAGCATCAAATCAGGCTCAAATGGCAGTCAGCTGTCGTAATTTGTGCCACTTTACACAAGGAAATAGAAGACAGTCTGTGCTCTCCCAAACAGCCTTATAGTCTCTCAGTGCAGGGTCCCACATCCCTTTGAGGGTAAGATGGGAAAGGGTGAGGCTGGTGAGCTCTGTGCCCTACCACATGCATTAAGGATGACTATACTGTTCATTTATAGCCCATGAGATCACTTAGCCTGGGCTGTGGTGTTTCCCGTCCCGCTGGAAAATATGCCCCAGCATCTGATTTGATTTAAACAGAATTTTGTTCTGTTAAATGTACTTCTCTGAAAACAAGTGTGAAACCTAATCTGAAAGTTTAGTTTTTCAGAGCAGGAACCATGCTGGAGCTGAACCTAAGCATGGGAGTTAAGATTCTATAATTTCATGGAGTGGAGATCAGTGGTGATGGCTGCTCTCAAGAAGGTTCATGTCCCCTTTGATTCTGGATCACTATATTCTTTTTGGGTGTTTTTTCATAATCTACTCATGTCAACAAGAATGCAAATTACCAGCAAGATGATTCTTAAGAAGCAAAACAGAATCATACTGAACAAATTCAGCCTGCTCTGATGCAACCAGCAAAAGACTGATGCTACAGGGCAGCATCCCCTGTCCAGGAGGATTGCAGGACTCACCCACTCCTCCCTCCCCTTCTCAGCCGCGAGCAACACAAAGGGCACAGGAATGACTAAGGTTAGTAATGACTTCTGCTGTTGATTTTAAGCAAACCTGAAAACGTTTACTTGCACGCAAGAAGGCATTAGGGGTATGTCACCCCGGCAACAAAACTATTCACCGGAATTTGCCTTCAGTATTTAGACTGTTTCCTTCTTATCCAGGGAGTCATGTTTAATTTACAGAAGAACACTGGTTCCTCTGGGATTTACAGTACATAATCTGAAGGTGTCAGCACAGAGGTCATCGTTTGCTAGAGAAAAGCTTTGTTACAGGAGTTAAAGATGGCTTTCATATCATCTATCCAATCCCTAATGACCTTGCGAGACAATCCACCTTTTCTTCTAGTTGCTAGTGCCTGATTTACTTTTGGACAGTCAAAATTTACTTTTGTCTTTTTCACATTGGGGGCTGCAAGATTTCTGGAATTCTGCTGCAAGTAAAAACACCCCTGTGTTGCTGCATCCGAAGAGGGGACCGGACCCTTCCTATCTATCCATTCTAGGATAATTGCTTCCAGGTTTCTAACTCACCAAGACAATCTGCACCTGCAGTATAGGTTTATTGAATCAGGCCTTGGAGTTTCTTTAACCATATCCCAACCAGGCTTTCCTACCTTTCCAAAGACAAGGTCTTCCATCCCATCACCAGGCAAGGGGAAGAGGTCAGACTCGCTCCCGGACTCTCTTTTAAGAACACCTTGTGATGAGGCACAGACGCTGCTCAGCCCATCCTCCAGGAAGTTTTCACATTCTATAGGAGCAAAGCAGAAAGTTATGAGCTGATGCTTTCTATAGTATCTGTACATCCAACTCACACACTCTCTGTAAATTCAAGGATTTAAACTCAAGAGCAAACACAGCTTTACAATGTTCACCTCCCCAAACCATGCCTGCCATTTGCTAATAATTAATTCAAGAGTTTAAAACTCCTTTGTAACGGATCATTGAAGTACACGGTGGAAACAAAGATTCTGCACTAAACAGTCATACATGTTTGTTCCTTGAGGTGCAATAAATATGCTATACATCAGGTACCCCACACTGAAAATAACAGGATGCTTCTCATCGACTGCAACAAGTGCAAAGTTAGTCATATTCAATAAAGGCAGAAATATAATTAGATATTTGCTTTCTTTCTCAATTAAAGAATCAATTCCCTCTCAATGTCAGTGTGCTTTAAATGCATATTGGGATGATTATTTCATTCCTCCTTCTATAATTGTCACTGAAAAATCACTAGTATGACTTCCATGACAAGCTTTACTTTCTGAAGATTCAAAAATGAAGTGGTTTTGGTTTTAATTCTCAGCTTTCATAACTCCTGATACTGAAATATAAACACATTGCATCTCTTCTTACCAAAATGCTTCCAGCTCTCTGTATTTAGGTGATCAGAAAACACTACTGGCCTTCCTCTCCGAAAACCTTAACAGGTATTTGCATAAAGAATGCCTGCAAGTCATTTCATTTGTTCAGCCTTCAGGATAAAGCATTAAAGAAAATTTTGGCAATAACTGAACATTCTTTCCTCCCAACTTAAAATATTTTCTAATTATTAGTGTTTTTTTAAACACAGAGGTGTTATCTTGCAACCTCCCCTAACTCAGTAGATTCAAACCACACTTAGCTCCCTGGAGAGGAGCCAGGGCAATAAAATGCTACTTTTACTCTTAAATTACACCTAACTCCACCCTTGGAGACATCAAGCTTAGACATCAATGCAATGATGACAGGTAGCTCGAAGTCACCTTTTTCCCTTCCCCATCCTTAGCCTGCTCCTCACAGGAGCTATCAAACACCCAGCTCCACTGCTGGAGAAAATAATGGGAATTTATTGATGGCAGTGGGGCTGCCCCTGTCTAGGGCAGAGGGGAGCCAATCCAGTTGGAAACCTCATTACTCCATAGAGGAGTTTCCACACCACGGAGAATTGGAAAAGCACTTATTGGAGGCAGCACGGCTGCTCCCCGGGCCTGTTCCCCTTTCGGTAAACCTGGAAAATCTGAACTGCTTTTCCATCACTGAGGAGGAGAAAGGAGGGGGAAGAGAAAAAGGGAGGGGGAAAAAAGCCCAGAAGGGAAAAGCAAAGAAGAGAAGGGCAGGCTGTGAGGTGCCGGACGTCCAGCTGGCACGGGCACAGCATCTCCACAGCCCAGACTGAAAAGCAAAGGGGCTCCAGCCACGTTCCAGTGGAAAATCAGTGGGGACGGTCCAGATCCGCCAAGGGACAGATACCTTACCCTGATGATAAATCACAAGAGGCAGAGAAGCCTCTTCTGCATCAGCCTCTGAGGGACAGATTAAATGAAGCAGTGGGGAAGGACGATGAGAACCGGCATGATGGGGACCCCCACATCTCAACTTGTCTATGCTGAGAAATCAGTTCCCAAACCCTCTCTTCCTTTGACTCTCCTTTATGTTTGGATGCCTGGGGAGGGTCTTACTCCTCCTTTTTTTTGCAGTTAGCTCGTTGGGTTTATTTTCTTTGCTTTAAACTGTACAGGCATCGCACAATACTGAGCTCTATCTCCCACACCCATGACCTGGTGAGCACTGGTGACAGCACTGCCACGATATGGGGACTGTGAATCCCATCACACGTACACCCCTGCTCATTTACAGCACAACTGTGCTTATCTGCTCCTCTCTGTGTAAGTGCAAAGGAAAATAAAATGATGATGGTAACACACTGCTGCACGTAATGCAGAAGCAAAAAAAATTACATAGCAAAAAGCCCTGGGAAGAAACTTTCCAAGCAAGTCTCTTATGTACATTTTCCAAACCCTTGCATCCTCCAAGGCAGGGCTGAGCCCTCCAATTCTATGCTGATAGCTACGTATCTGCTACACTCCTCCAAGGCATTTCATTTCAAAAGCACTGACAGAAAATGAGAAGCTACAGTTTATGGAGTTAACTTCTGAGATTTGAGGACCCTGTTCTTAGCACTGCTTCAACTGGATTATTCAGCAGGTGAAAAAGGTCCAATTCCCTAGTAAGTGTGTGGTTTTAAGTTAGCCATATTACAACAGATAGTGGTTTTACTGCTGTTAAGGTGCTGCCAGATTTTCTTGCCCCCTCTATATTGCACAGCACCACACTGCAGCTGGAGGGACGTATGTGCAGTAACAACATGATTTCTGGAAAGGCCAGAACCTGCAGAACTGCTGCTTCAGTCTGACTGGAGGGCACATTAAGCAACTTTAAAACCCTGCTTCTTTCTGCTTGCGTTACAGACATATATTACTATAATTATGAATATATATGTGTATATATGGCTACCTGATTACATAATAAATATTACATTTCTATTGTATGATATTGGATTAGATAATAAGTATCTAACTGATATTGATCCATATGAATACAGGATTACGGATCTGGCACGTCAATGAGTGCACGTCATTTTGCAACCAAACGGAGCACAGTAAGTCTTGCCTGAAGCGTAAAAACATCATACCATGAGGCAAGACATTTGGGGACACAGTTAGGAAGCAGTATGGTGATTCCTCAGGTTCTCCTGTAAAACACTTCTGGAACAACTCTTCATTCTTCATGAATATTCTAAACAGCACTATTTATTTTTAAATTAAAAAAGTCCTTTAACTTTGATGGGAGCTAGAATTTCTACCTAGAATAAACCCCTCGGGTCAGTCACCTGCATCATCCCTTCTTAGCCTACACCCTGAAAAGACTGGGTTTGAATTTCACACTGACACTCAGTGACATTTTCAAGCCTTTAAATTGAAGGAGATTCAGGCAAGACCCCTGTTCATAAAGAAAGCAAGGCAAGAAGTGTCCTCTCTGTGAACAGTACAAGCAAAGTCCCTACTCGGGGCCCTCATAATTCACTCAATTTGTTTTGAACATGCATAATTCAATGACAGGAAATGCTTTTTTCTTATCTTGGACACCAATCCCTCTTTGAAACTTGCCCAGACAAGATTTTCTGTCCCAGTGGAGGAGCCAGAAAGCACCAGCCAGCTCGCAGGGCTGGGAGCTCAGCATGGCTGGTGGGCAGGGTGTGGGAATGATGGCTCTTAACAGCCTTCCTGCTTCCTGAAGCCTGGAAACGATGGTAACTTTCAGAGGGGAAAAAAAAAGGACAAAAAAAATCAAGTCACTGATTTCGATCTAAATATGGGTTGAGGAGTTTAAACTTCTGTTGTTCTTCTTTTACTGTGTTATCCTTTTAGCTAGAAATCACATCTGTGTGCCCCGTCACACCTTTTAATAGAAAAGATTAAATATTGAGGTACTTGAATAACATAATTATGTCAGAAGGTGACACACCAGACAGCTCGCTGCAAGTCAAGTGCTGCAGCCATGTGCAAGGCAATGACTCACAGCAGATCCATGACACGTTTTCTTTAGTTTACGTATTATCTCCCTTGAGACAAAGATGTCAGAAGTAAGAAGCAAAGGAAGAGAAGGTAAGAACCACAGGACTCTCACTGGTACACTGCTTACCTGGAGATTCCTGTGTCCGCTTGCGCTCCAGCAGGGAAGAATCGGGACATGGCTCCAGTGAACACCAGCTTTCACGGTTTATCTGGAAAACAGACCAGAGCAAATCAGAGAGAGGCTACTCTGGCCAACATTACCCTCTTCCGCAGCGTCACTCTGCATTGAGCAGATGACAGATTGTTGTGGCTTAATTCTGTTTTATAGCATCGCTAAACAAACCATCAAAATACTCCAAAAGCCTTCATTTCTCCGTGGAAAGTATGACTTCAGGGTGGCTCACGCTCAAGGCAGGAGTTCAGAGGGAGGATGAGACAATGTTCAAGCTGCTAGTAGAAGATTGAAGAAACCTGGCTTCAATTCTCACTTCCATTTGTAGCACAACTGCAGACAAGACACTCCTCTGCTTTATGCCTTGGTTCACTATCTACAGAAGAGCAATTCCCTACCACCCATACTGCTATAATTACCTTAAAGATAATAAGGTGCTCTGATAATGTGGAAAAGATGGCTAGGGAAGTGCCGAGGTCATGGTGAGAACCCAAAGCACTTTGTGCTGTCATTAACTGAAATGACGATGCTGTTAGAAACCCCCTTTTTAACACTAAGCCACATCACATGGTTTATTTCAACATAAGCCCTTATCATGTCACCCTGCTCCTCACCCCTTCTGTGACTTCCAGTCTTTCAGGAAGGATGACTGATCTGTTCTCAGCCTGCTCCCTCATCTGCCTGTGCTTTACTCTTCCTCACTTGGGTTGTGCTGTCCAACACATTGATTCTGAAGTCTGCTGGACTATCCACAACCCTTAGCTCACCCAATCCACCCTTCCCATCAATCCTGCCTACAGCCAGTAGACTCTCGAAGCCCCTTTGCTCTCTCTGCTTCAGCAGTGTGGTTTCTCTTACCCAAACACCTTTATTTGTCAAAGGCAAGCAAGTCTCATCTGAACAAGCCCATGTCCCACGTCATGAAATCTAAAGGTAATTTCCCCTCCTGACCTGCCTCAACACACACGATCTTGCATGCTGTGTTATAGCTAAAATAAAGCTACTGGCAATGGAAGACTTTTATTTATGCAATATTTCTCCTATCTCTTAACCTCCTGGTTTTCCTTCTCTGAAATAATTTCCTTTTCCCTCTCTCTGTCAAACAGGGATTTTTATTATTTCCTTTTTGCCTCTGACCTGTCCTCAAATCTCCTCCACCCTGCTCCATTTTTGCAGTCCCTTGCTGTATTCTCATCCCCTTAATGTTCTCCTTTCTCCCACGTTATGAAATTCACTGCTTTTTCCTTTTTATTATTTTTTTCTTTCAATAAAGAAAAACAACACTCTCCTACCCTTGACCTGACTTACTGCTTTGACTAATGACCCACGTCCTTCTTCCCTTCCTTGCTGAGATCATGGAACTGTTTATCTGCAGTTGGCTGGTGCTCCTCACCAGTCTGGCTGTATCCCCTTGTCCCTCAGTGGAGGGGCTCCTGCCAGCACCTCTCTGCTCCTCACCCAGCAGAGTCAACCCACCAGCTCCTTTCTACAGCACATTTTTCTTCCTTAGGTTTTGTCCTCCCCCATACTTATGTGATGACAAAATGGGGTTGGAAGGGCCTTTGACAGGTTAACTAGTCCCTTTCTGCTGCTCCAAGTCAGCCTCAGTTATAATATGAGAGGTCACAATCCAAAGTGCCCTTAAAATCCTCCAGCAGCTAGGATGATGTGACCTTCCCCAGTCAGCAGCTCTTGCTGGGGGAGACAGGGAAGGAGAAGAGAGGGGAAATAAGAGCTGGAGTGTCCCAAGAGAGGTGAAGGAGACCTCATGCTCTATCTACCAGTCAAATCTTGGGGTGACCTCCCCACCTCTGTGCAAATTCTACAGGCTCTTTTTCTCAGATACGATGTACACATGATGTTGTTCGCTGCCTCTGCTCACACACAGGCATTACGTACATACCCCAGATCTCATCAGACCCCTATATGTACATGCATCTAAGATCTCACCCTTCCCTGCACCCCTACTCAACACACATACGCACACACCTGCATACCCATCTTCTCAATTTACACACAGGACATGTGTATTCAATGAGAGGTGGAGAGGGAAAGAGGCAGCCTGAAGTCTGAGAAAGGCTTTTGTAAGCTATTCCTAAAAACAATGATTTTTTTGTTTTCCAAAGTGACATAAAGATGTTGAATTTTAACTGCTGCATGGACAGTGCCTCACTGTTCAGATTCTTTCAACAGAAGAAAGATACCCCTGTTCCCAGCAAGGCTGAGGGGTACCAAACCTTAGCAATTAAACTTTATGCTGTGGAATCTAGACATACTTTCTTTGTTTCAAAAGAGCTGCAGAGCCAGTAAAAATCACGTTATGACTGTAAGGTCAATAAATATGTTAATATTCCTTTCTGTCCAGACAAAGCAGAATCTATTTTGCAGCACACTATTTTGCATTTTATTAAAGGCAAATCTAGAGGTTAGGCTCTCTGAACACAGAGAGGAGAAATGCAAATGTGCTCAAGTCCACCCAAATGAAGGAATGATCCATTTCAGACAGAAAATCAAATTCCGCCTCCTTCTGGCTGGCCTGCACCTAACTCATTCCTCATCATAGGAAGCCTGATCCTCCTCACTCTTTAAACCAATGCATGCCCATCAAATTTAAGGGAACTACTCCTGATTGACACTGATATCAAATCAATAATGAAACATCTTATTCAATAATTAGCAGTAAGAAAGCAAAGTATGAGGCGACTCAAGCCTATCAGTTGACTGGTAATAGATTAAAACTATATTAGGCTGAATTAACAATATATTTTTTCCTTTAATAGAACCAATTGAGTCATTCACTGAAAATGCATTATAGACATTGGCACTTTTTCAAGAAAGATTTGAGTATTTTTCCCATCACCCAGCCAGCTCTCTCCTCAGCCCTGTGCCTTTGCCAAGTACTGAAAACGTCTGTTTTCTTCTATTAAAGAAAGCAATGAAACTGTAATGCTGAGGTTTAAGGTGTTCTTTCAGATATACCTGATTATGCACAAAGGAAAACATCAGGAACTAAATATTTATCTCAGTAGCCCTAATTCAGCAATAATAATAATCATCATCATCAAAACACAAACAAAGGAAACCACTACTATATACAAGTGTTCCCTATGCCAAAACGAGCCCAGACAGGATTTGAGGGAGGTTTACTGCTTGCTCTCAGGAAACTGGGTGGTCCACAGACACTCAGAAACACAAACCCCTCTCTATCCACAGCCTAAGACTGAATACTGGAATCCCTCCTCAACAACTGAATTCTGCTTGTGTTTACACAGGACTAGTGACTGCATGTACAGACAGTTGGGGCTGTGGGGAAAATGCAGTGATATACAGAATACAATGATACACAGTAAGAGCACCTGCACATCAGGGGTTGGAGAAGGCACCAGTATGAAGAAATTCAAGATGAAGTTGTCTTGGGATTTTGCACACACGTGTATTATATGGAACAAAACTGTTCCTCCCTTCTTCCCTTACTCTCTTGTTTTGCTAAGAGAAGCCCAACCAGGAACGCAGGCTTGTGCCCACAGAAGATAAAACCCCCATACGCTTTGTGCCTTGCCCACACTGATTATAGCCCATTGACTCTGGCCATCCCAAGATGTGGTGGGAGCAGAGGATGCAGTGGTGTTCAGATGGCAGAAGGGAATATGAAACAGCCTCTGGGAACAGAGTTTCAATACGCAGCTTTTGAAATAGTGCCAGGAGAGAACCAGATATTTTTCCATGCAGAAGCCTGAATGTGTTTATCTGCAGCTCAGACACAGAATGAATCATGGAAGCACATCCCCAGGCACCAAAAACTGAATCCCAAAGGATTTTCTGTTTGCCTGTGAAACACTAGCAGACTGAATGTCCAAAGAGGGCTTTAGGACACCAGCTGGAGTTTGATTGTTCTTTCTGGGCACACATGCACGTATTTCCTGACTCTCAGAGACATCTTCTTGCAGACATTGAATTTGAAACTTAATGGGACTTAATGCAGAAACCTCTCTGCACAAGTAAAGGACAGTGCTGGACAACCTGCAAGGCAAACGGGGTTGGGATGCCTCCAATCATATGGGAGCAATGAGAAATGCAAACCTCTGTTCCCAGACTCTTCCTTCCTTTCCCCTGCACAACAATCCTGGCTGAGGAGTTATCTAAACCCCTACAGTGCTTGTGGTCCTCTGCCCATGAAGACCAGAATCAGGGTCTCTCTTCTCAGAAGTCATTTGAAATGCACAGCAAAAAGCTTGCTAGAAACACTTGCTCACTGCTACCCAGCTCCCGTGCACCTTTCCACCATGGAAAAGTCCTCTTTCTCTCCCTCTGGTTTAATTTTAACTCTTCCTGCCTTCCAGTTCACAGTAAAGAAAACACCCTGGCCTCTCAGGAAATCTGCTATTTTAAAAGTCTGCACTTGTCAACCTTACCGGCAGTGATATAAATCACCTTCTCCAGAGCAGAAGGAACCAGATGATTTTAACTTTCATTTCCTAGCAAACCTCAGGAGATTCCTCTTCCCTCATTGTTTTAACTTTGTCCTGAATTTACAAGTTTCCATTTCTCTCTTCCCCCACCCCAGCTTCCAGACTGAGTTCTACCTTGCAGCTAAAACCAGACACCATTGCACGTAGGAAAAAAAACCAGCAGAGTAATTCTAGCTTGCTTGGTCTATCATTAAGTACTTGTGCACCACGCTGAGCAGTAACTGACACTAGGAAAGATCTGAACTATCCACGGGAGAACATGAATAGCATAAAACAATAATCAGGAATAACACAATGATTTTTAACTCTTTTTTTAATGCAAATCTTAATTATTCTCTAATTATTCTAAGATTTCCTGTAGGACAGTTTTCACTGAAGAAATCTGTACGTGTAACCGGACTTCAATGTTTATTCCAAACAACTTCGAAATTTCCAATTCCATTTATGATGGAATTACCCAGTCGCCTCTAATTCCTGAACTAGAAACTAAAGCAACAGCTGATTCACCCCCTTCACAAAAGCCACCTTTCAAGACCCTCCAAACCTCTTTCAAAAGGAGCATGAGGGA